TCTTTTGTTTTGACGTCTTCAAAAGATCATGTAGATATCATAATGATAATAAATATTCATATCGTTATCCCATTTTTTAGAAATCTTGTTTGACAATAATGTTAGTTTATACAGATCCCCTTATATCCCTAGTCCCTATTTTATCGACCATATATATATATATTTATATTCTATACGCTTTCACAAAACTGCTTTCTACATATTCAAATATTCAGCTCAACAACTAATGTGTTGTACAGTCGATTTCAATAACGATACCGCTTTTCAATTGACAGATTGTTGTTTGTCTGTAATGTAATATATTTAACCACCTATACAAAAATAAATATCAATAACGAGGAATCTTACCAAATATGAAAGTATTTGCCATGGCGAGTGTATTCCATGGTGGAGCATTTTGGCCTCTTCCCAAATCTTCCTATCACAGAAAGTAACCAGGAAGTTTTGAATCGGGTATAATACAATCAGCGGAGTGTTCAGGCTGTTCCCCTCTGGTAGGTATGGATGTAAGCTATGGTGTAGTCAACAAACCACACTAACGTGTACACGTATCTGTTCTGACTAATAAACCTTGCCCATGTCCAATGATTGCATTTATGTACAAGAAGGGAGGAAAGTATATTCCTATATAGCTCTCGATATCGCAACATGGAATGCTTCTAACATTGTCGCAGTACAACAATGCTAGGTATCGTAAGAAAGATGATATATTTTCTTTCGATATCCTTCTATATCAACCAAAAATGTATTCTCCGTACGCGGATATCAACTGGGTTTCATACCAATAAACGCCAGTTATATATAGGCATATACACAAACATATTTAATAAATATCCTATCTTAAGTTGCGCGTATCCGTCTACCGGGCCTACGTTATGAAATTTAGCTTGCTCTTGTTGTCTTCAATTGAAAATAAATTGAGTTGTCTTTAAAAGAAAATATAAAATTAATTTGTCAATTTTTGCTGTAACGCCTGGCCGGTTGATTCGTGGTGTAATAATTAGGTCATTCGTGCTGTAAACATGAACCTAATTAGGTAATTCGTGCTGTTAACATGACCCTTATTGGATAATTCGTGCTGTAAACATGAACCTAATTAGGTAGTTCGTGCTGTAAACATGAACCTAATTAGGTAATTCGAGCTTTATCATGATCCTAATTAGGTAATTCGTGCTGTAAACATGAAACTAATTAGGTAATTCGTGATGTAAACATTAACCTAATTAGGTCATTCGTGCTGTAAACATGAACATAATTGGGTAAATCGTGCTTTAACTTGAACATTATTGGGTAATTCGTGCTCCGTGCTGTAAATATGAACCTAATTTGATAATTCTGCTGTAAAAATGAACCTAATTAGGTAATTCGTGCTGTAAACATGATCCTAATTCGGTAATTCGTGCTGTAAACATGAACTTAATCAGGTAATTCGTGCTGTAAACATGAACATAATTAGGTAATTCGTGCTGTAAACAAGAACCTAATTAGGTAATTCGTGCTGTAAACATGAACCTTATTAGATAATTCGAGCTTTAACATGATCATAATTAGGTAATTCGTGCTCCGTGCTGTAAACATGAACCTAATTAGGTAATTCGTGCTGTAAACATGAACCTAATTAGGTAATTCGTGCTGTAAACATTCCCCTACTTGGGTAATTCGTGCTGTAAACATGAACCTTATTAGGTAATTCGTGCTGTAAACACGAACCTTATTAGGTAATTCGTGATTTAACATGAACCTAATTGGGTAATTCGTGATCCGTGCTGTAAACATGAACCTAATTAGGTAATTCGTGCTGTAAACATGAACCTAATTAGGTAATTCGTGCTGAAAACATGAACCTAAATGGGTAATTCGTGCTGTCAACATGAACCTAATTAGGTAATTCGTGCTGTAAGCATGAACCTAATTAGGTCATTCGTGCTTTAACATAAACATAATTGGGTAATTCGTGCTCCGTGCTGTAAACATGAACCTAATCAATGCTATAAACATGCACCTGATTGGGTAATATATGATGTGTTGGTTGATTTTAGCCATTTACGTCAAATGTAGTGATAGATTTTTCATGATACCTTTATATTGTTAATTCAGATACCTTGACCTAATATACGGCGATATGAGTTTACGTGCAGCTGTAGATTAAGAAATGCTCTATAGCATAATGACAAGTTTAACAATCTGTATACGCAAATTGAACATACACCCGGGACTTGGTTCAGGGTTGACGAAGTAAATGGCCTATGCCAAGTATCCAATTATATGTTTTATGTCATACATACAGAGAATACACAGAAGGTATTCATTGTTTATAGTAACAAACGTTTTACTGCCGACCTATTTTATGACACAATGAAGAAATAGGCATTTAATTGTCTATACAATGCTGGCATTGTAAACGAACACTGACTTGCGACATTCAGTCTTACTGGAGCAGAAATATGTTTCTGGAAGGTCTCCATCAATGACTAAATAACCATCCCTTGATTGACAGCATATATAGGGCACCAAGGAAATGTGTTGGTCCTCGTTTACTACTTCGTCTATGTATCGCCATGTTGGGTCGGTCACAACTATACGCTGGGTGTTACATATAAACGCGACACTTCAGTGCACCTTACACGGATGTTCGATCAATGACATAAGAGGCGATACAGTAGATCTAACATGAAGATAGAGTAAGGCGATATTATAAACTGTATTTAGCTTAATTACCTTCTGCCTTGCATTACCTAGAGGGAGACGGTGTTACCGACATAACAGCAGATGTTTTGGCTATCCGTATTGTGTGTTTTAAATGATGTGATTCTTTTGTGGATCATTTTTTTTAATAGAGATTAATAGAGACATCCCAGGTAACTTTTTCCTAATGCATTTTACCTTATAATAAATATCAGCACCATACTTCAAACATTACACAACAGCGCATGATATCTGACAATATCAGGATAGGAGTACATTTAATATATCTAGTATAAATTAATTTTCGACTGAAAATGCAAGTCAACCATGCTGCTATATCAAAGACTGGGTGGCAGCTAAGGATTTAAACAAGTCTATTGATAAACACATACATACGTGTTTTAAGTTCATTTGTAGTAACGGTTTTGTGTAGATGTGTGGAATTTTGTGTATAATTCGGCTGTCCCCACCCCTATCCCCTTTTCAGTATCACAATGTGAACAACTTTAATTCACGAGCACGTGCTGCTGAAAAAGGGGGAACGCTTTCTCTGATTTTAATTACCCCGATGTGTCTTTCATAAGAGATTATTGCACAAAAGATCCATTTTGCGCCCATGTTATTCACAAATTTCAATCAGATGGAAAATTCAGTGATGTGATATTGCACATAACACACTGAAAAAATCATTAATGACTCTATAATTTATCATTCGGTGAAATAGCACAGATAAGACACAATGCATTTATTTGATTTTTAATGTAGATAAATCTATGTATAACAGGTAATGCAATTACCAACTATATATGGAGCTGTGATGATATAAGCCGTATGATTATATTGGTTCTCAAAAGTATGCGAAAAAATCTAATTCATGAACACTGTGACATTTTATGAAAAAAAGGTGCTTTATATATCGTGTATCTATAGATAGACAACTTAAGTAAACACGTCCCTCCCATTATTTGTTTTGAATTAGTTTATTGTCGTCATCGTGAGATTATAACCAAGAGGTGCTAAGGAAAGCAAATATGTTGTCAAACACTTCAAATTGTCTTACTTAACACTAATTCCTGTAAACGGTGTTAACCTCCTTGTGTTAAGCATGGTCCTTTGTAGAGATGAACACGTGTTGGTGAACCTGATGTGTCTGTGGAAGACTAGCCTACATATGTACTGTGACGTTACATCCTGACAAGGCTTCTCCGAGAAAGTTTAGCGCGTGCCTGATCTTGTGAGCATACACACTTAATTGTCTGCGTGTTGTGTAGAGTCCGTTGGTTAGTTATATAACGTGAATGAGTAAAGTTGATACATGTATGATTGGAATTGATATCACGGATCCTAAAGGGATGTATTGACTAGATTTACAGGTAAGAAATGTACAGGTGTGCATTGTAAAAGTGTGTATCCTTTGTAAAATAGCAGTATTCTTTATGAAATGAAGGTACGCATAAACTAGACATATATAATGGAAATGTGAACATTTTAACTTGTTTCATAGCAGGTCGTCTTCAATTATGGCAAACATCTTTAGGAGTATCGAATGGTTCTGAACAGAAAGCCTAACTAATGAGAAATTGAGCCATCAGCAATTAAGATTCAGGTATATATTGTACATAGTAGATAAACATTACAAATTACAGTGATGTAATTGTAAATAAGTGTACGTGAAGCACCATAAATGAAGTCATGTTTGTAAAATGAAGATAGGCATTGTAGAATAAAGCAAGATTTGTAAAAATAGGTCTGCATCGTACAGTATGGTAATGTATTATGCTATAAAGGTAATGTATCAATAAGATATATCTATATATGGATTCTAAGGTATATATGTGCAGTGCAAAAAAAAATGAAGTACTAATGTAGGTATCTTTATAAATTGCATTTATGCATTGTTTAAGTTTGTACTGTATACGTAAACTTAAAAACATTGCGCATCGATGTAATTATTAATACTACTTATATATGCATTGTAAATTAAGAGACAGCCATGCACTATTAAAATAAATGTTAATAAACATTGTATGAATTAAAAATGTCTAAAGGTTTTTAAATGTTAGATCACCCGTTCCTTTGATTAATACATATTTGGTAACGCATGGCTACGAAAAAGGAACAAGGTCAGGACAGACATTGCGTCATTCATATATTACATTCACAATTCACGCGAAGATGTTGTGTTGCCACGTGGTTTAAACAATATAGGGAGTTCTTCCAGTATATAATGTTGTAGTTGTTTTCTACTAACTCTTGGTGCTTAATAAGCCGATCGGAAATTCCTAGTGTTTAAAAATAGATACACTCCCTTAGCGTATTAATAAGTATGGCTTCCAGTGTGGTTAGGCCTACCTTCTATAGCCAGATAAACAGACATGATCTGCCACTATAGACAGAAGATATTGGTATACAGACTATCTTGTATTTAAGGTAAATATCATTTGATGTTATGTTTTGTGTAACTCGCTTTCAAGCATTGTTAGGGTTGATCCTCCGACTGCAATGAATATCTTAATATAGGTATGCGTCAGTTGTGCATGATCATTGCTATTTTACCAACATTGCATATAGTTAATACGACACAATATTAAATAAAAAAAGACGGGTATCTTTCTTAGTTGTGAAATACCGTGTTATTTAAATCCTATAGCACAAACATACAAGATATAATAAACCGGTTATATGTAAATATAGGTCAGTGATCAATTGAGTTACATATCTGTGTTAGGGGGAAGGGCCTACTGCAGATAAAAATAGTCGTAGTCCAATGTTAGTGGTAGAGTGCGGTACCATCGTATATCAATTATACATGTGATTTATATTACAATTCAGTTTTAGTTTTATGATAAGCAAACATTAGATTTAAAAATGATACTATTTGATGTATTTCAATGAAAACTTTCTTAATCCAAACAAATATCGATATTGTGTAATACGTCTGGAGATGATGAGCGATGCTTGTATGTAGACGGGTTGCATCACGCTCTCCTTGACGTTGTTAATATGAACCGACATATCATGTCAGTAAGTCACTCTAATTCTCTGACGCTCCATAACCATTTACTATTGGCAATAGTGGCAGGAAGGTAAGGTATCCCAGCAAAGAGAGAATATCCTTGCCAATTCTGATGTGTGTAAGCAGGAATTATAGTTATATTTTACAGATTAAAGCAATATACCAATCTGAATTAAATTACTGAAATAAATGGGGACAGTATGAATTCCATACACAAGGAATACGTACAACCGGCCTCCACACTTAACTGCTCCATAGCGATATATGTGACAATCAAGTTGTATGCTTAGACCTTTTTTGATGTACAGTGTATGTAGGTAGTGATATTGGAAATTTTATGAATTAATATTCATAACACGCCACACACCAATGATGGTATACTAGAAGGGTGGAAAGTTTTGGTAGTTTACAAACAGGATCCTACCTTATTTTCTAACAGCAAAGATCACATTTCTGTGTTTGGTATAATATAACAGATGTAACAGAATATTCTTTCTATAGCCTTCTATGTACATACAAAAAAGTCTTTTGTGACAACATTCCAGTGGCGTTTATTGGTATGAAACCGAGTTGATATCCGCGTACGGAGATTACATTTTGCGTTCATATAGAAGGATAGCGAAAGAAAATATATCACCTTTCTAACGATACCCAGCATTGTTGTACACCAAACAGAAATAATGTCTACTGCGACAATGTTAGAAGCAGTCCATGTTGCGAAATCGAGAGCTATATAGATACAAGAAACAAGATTTTGTATTTAACGTCGCATATTTCAACATTTAACATAAGCACTGTTATGCTATTCATGCGACAAACAAGGGATACAAATAAGAAATAACATGGATAAATAGCATGCAGGTAAATTCAAAGCTACATGTAGTTAAGAAATAGCAAGCAAATATCACATGATGATTAACAAGTAAAAACAATAAAGGTACAACAGCAAAACAGCACATAGGTAATCTCAGACAGGTAGCATTTGAAGTTAAATTTATAAACTGGAGGTAAATAATGATTACTAGTGTGTTACACAAGTATTACTATCTGTGGTTTAAAGCACTGTGACAGTGTGATATACAAACATGCTAATACAGCAAAGTGTAAAATTTTACCGGATATACACTTATATAGTGTGATTTAAAATAGGGACAATGATGTCAATTTAAACTACCAAAAAATTCGGGAGCTAAAAGCATTTAATTTAAAATATGCTTCGTGAGATTATATACAATCATAAAGCGTGAAGAACATAAAAGCTAAAAAGTAAAACATGATAGTAAAACAGTTAGCAAGGTACAGTGAAAGGGAGAAAACTCCATTACAGGTGACAGGGGGAAGGAAAGAAGAAGGGTTTTGGTTTGTATGGACAAACTAAATCGAAATAGACAACAGTGTGTACATGCATAGAGAGAGTCCCGTACAAGCAAGTGATTGGGCAACTCCCTCCATCTAAACTTGTCCGGACCTCCAGTTTCCCAGCATTAAGATTTGGGAGGGGTGGGGGTAGGGAAGAAGCAAAAGAAACGGGGGGGGGGGGGGAAAAAAAAAGAAAGGAAAAAAAGGAAAAGAAACAGGGCAGGGGTTCACAGTGTAAATTTGTAAATGGCCTAAAATTAAATAGGAGTATTGTAGATATATGCAATCATTGGACATTAGGAAGGAATTAAAGGGATGTTTAACAACTGTTGATCAAAATCCAAAAAATGACTAAAATATCCCCACCTATCAGGATAAGTCTAAACACACATGGTCTCATTTGTTGACAGGTCCCAGTGGACCTCTCCACCTTATACCCACGTTAGTATGTATACAGCTACCTTAGGATCATGCGGTAACACTTTGTTGTAAGGTTTTATTTGTTGACTTCAACTTTTTAATCGTTAAATAGATCACCAGATCAATTATTATAATCATGACTGAGTATTTAAACAAATCAGTTGCAAACTTTCCAATTATTGTTATTTATTGTTATTTATTACATCTGCCTCAGATCTATCCAGTTAATTGAAGATACAAAAAAACACTGATATTAAAAAGTGAGAAACATACAGAATGTATGTGGTACCATGCATATCAACATCAGCCATATAGAAGTGTACATAATATAAACAACATAGATAGGGGTAGCTATGTCATAATGTCATAATGATATTATACATTTACTTTTTTATGAGTTACAGTTATATAACAATAAACATAGTTACAGAAGTAATACAATGAAATCTGACACAAAACCTTATTACAAGTAAAGCTTGTTTTGAACACAAACAGGAATTGAAAACCTATTTTGTGAGCTTTCGAAAACATCTGTTTCATTTGTCAAGCAAAGAGTGTTAATGACCGGTGTCTCGACTTTAAGCAGCTGAAAACAAAGCACTTAGTTACAGTGTGCTGAATAAGTAAAGTTAGCTCATTTAACATCCAATAAGGGACGGAATGATTAAAAATATGGTACCCGTCCCCCTGACTGCCAGCAGTATTAGAGTGCAATTTTGCGAAATGATTTTCGACAGCTAACTTTACTGATTCGGCACACTGTGGCTTAGTTCTTTGTTTTCAGCCGTTTAGAGTCAAGACACCGGTTATTTACACTATTTGCTTGACAAAGGAACCGACGTTTTCGATAACTCGCAAAATAAGTTTCCAATTCCTGTTTGTGTACAAAACAAACTTAACCTTTATGAATCTTATTATATCACACAAATAAAGCTCTGTGATCAATCGATTGGGCATAAGAGCCGTTTGTTGTCATGTGACATACAGGGGGGAAAATAGATCAATGTAGATTTTGACATCCATAAAGGTGATAATTACAAAAAAAATGTTTAAAGTGTTGCATGATTCTATCACGATATCGTGATATGTATTACTAATGATAAAACTGTGTAATAACTTATGATTAAATCACCTTCACTCTTGTACAATTACAAATGTTGCACTAATCACATAGTTCTTCTGACAGAGGGCGTATTAACTATGATTCTGTAATATAGCAGATGCATTTGTTGAGCATCGATAAATTTATCATAAATATTCATGAGTGTGACATCTTAAAATGTTAAGTAAATGTGATAATCGGAAAACTGTAAAACTGGGTTATTTATCTCCAGAAATGTTATTTGTAATGATTAAAGATGAGACGTGTTTCCGCCTTTTCCTTGTGTTTTTAAGCAATAATGGCAGGCCTTTGTTCTGGTATTATTAAATACAGTCGAACCTCGTTATCTCGAACTCTTTTAACTAGAAGACCCCGTTTATCTCGAAGTATTTCTCCGGTCCCGGCCAAATCTCTTCTTTATCTAAGTAAATAAAACCCTGATAATTCGAACCCTGAAAAGTCGAAAAACTCGGATACCTCGAAGTAAAATATTGGTTTCAATAGTGTTAATCCAACGTAGTATCCAAATTTCATTTTGTCACTTGTTAATTCTTTGATACAAAGAAAACGCAAAAGTACGACATTTCGCCATTCCGTGTTTATAAGTAGACTAGCATGAAATCAGTAAAAAAGAATTTTCGGCTTTGAAAGTCGATCGAGAGATTTAAGAACAAAACGATAATTGCTGTTGATTGCATCGAGTTGAAGAGGTGTCAGGTGTCATATTTGGCTTTAATGAATCAATGTGTCACATGTACGATATAATTTGTTTGTGTGTTTTCATTTACAGAATCAACTATTATATATATATATATAGAAATTATATAAACAGTATATATCAAAAAGCGATCTCACCCTTCGAGTTCCCATTCTGATGGGGTGTAAGCTTACTAACCCTACTTGTAATTGTCTGTGGTAAAGGCGTATTAACTCTCATAGAAAGGTATCTGTTAACGTATGTATTCAAAACGATCTTATTGACGATTTTCTTTTGTATGAATTGTGATATTTTTTTCAAGTGAAAAGAGCTTCTTATCATGGGCCAAATTAAATCTGTCACTTTGTTTGTTCACTATCCTGGCTCATTATTAAAACATTATTTCAATAGTAATATTCTTCGAAATTTCAGAATGTCTTTGACTCTGGAAAAATATCCATAACGCCTTATTTTTCAATAAAAATTACCTACGTTTTATATTTGTCTACAGGTAGCAAGTAGTCATGGAAACTTTACAGCGACACAATCTTCGACAAAACCACATTACCTTGGTTGATGACCTTGACCCCCGTGCTATCATAGACGATTTGTTTGAAGATGAAGTCCTGACTGAGAATGATTGTGACCGTATCAAAGCTTGTAATACAAGGAAAGAGCAATGTCGTTTACTGCTTACATTGCTCCCAACACGTGGTCCAGCAGCGTATGGCTCGTTCCTGAAATCTTTGACCGTGAACCACGACCATTTGGCAAATTTACTGAAATGTTCGGTGCAGCATATGAAAAAAGGGAGTGAGTGTAGCCAGGTAGAATATGGCAACATGCCGCCTGTGTATTCGTATATAGCTGGTGACTCTAGGAAATGCAGCGAAACAGAAACGCAAGTAGATGCTGCTGACCTTATTAAAGGTGATCTTGTCGAAGCGTGTTCCAAATGCAGTCCAGACATTCCAAAATTCGCGTTTCCGCAATTAGAGGTCGTTATCAAAAACAATTGTTGTCTTATTCTTGAAAATGTAGAGGCGAAAGATCTGTTAGACATACATTATCAAGAGTATGTGTTTGGAGACGAGGAGTGTGAAAGAATCAAGAGCGGGAAAACACGTTCAGAAAGATGCATCATCTTCATTTCGGAACTGTCGAAGCGCACTAGTAATAAGGTCATGTCAGTATTCACCAGATCGTTAGAGAAAAAGTATGGATATATTATCAAGGAAATAAAGAAAACGTCATTCTGTGCAACTAGTAACGTACTATCAACACCAACCGTAGCCGACATTCACCAACCAATCGATGCCGAATTCCCGAGATCAATTGGCGATGTCATTAGACGACCAATTCTCGCTGAGGTACTTCATAGAGGAATCACAGCTTGTGTGGCATACCCTGGGAAGCTAAGCTCCTCCGTTGATTGTCAACCTCAGTCTTTACATTTCAATGACAAACAGCTTGAAAGCATCAATTCCACTCAGTATGGAGATACGCTAGCCGATGACGACAATCATTCTTTACCTAAGGAGCAAACAAGTCCTTTTGATCGATTCAAATCACTCACAAACGTATCACCACCTAAATCATCCTTCAAATTCTCTCAGGAACGTCACAAGGATTCTGAAGACGTAGAATGGATGGTACGACGAAATCGTCATTTGAAAAGGGAGCGCAAGTTGTTTGACAGAAGGTCCCAACAAGTGTTTCCTGGATATGAAGACAACGTTCCTGATAACAGATTGCATGGTTCCTGTCCAACAGTGCTCGTTAACGAGACAAAAACTAACGTATGCCTCCAAAAACAGTCTTTCGAAACAGATTGGAAAGAGGAGGAAACCGATGAAACACACGCGGCATTGGTTGGTGATGTAGACAATGCACCGTGTCGACGTAAACGCGAACAAATACGCAGCGTCTCCGAACATCAGCCGTCCACTTCTAAAAGTCTTCGCACCGACTTCTTCTCCAATAAAGGGACAGAAAACATTCAAATGGACAATAAATTGTCCGATAACGTATATCCTATCACTACCAATTCCTATAATTGCCGTAGAAAAGCATCGGAAAGTCCAAAACAGCAATCAGAATCCGAAAAACGGCGAGATTTACCGAACCTATCTAATCTGTCGGCGTTAACCTGCAACCCAGGATCAATGGAACCGCACGAGTTGAGGACAAGGCGTCTAGAGGTTGCGTTCAATGCCCTCAGCACAATGATCAATCAAGGTCATTTCGAGAAGTTTGAAAGGTTTTCAGTGAACATCAAGCTCAAGTACGTCCACGACTTCGACATGATGTGCATATTAGACTACCTCCACGCCAGTCGTGATCTTTTCATCGCTGACGTAGACTCTGCCAAAAAACACATCAACACAGGCTTACAACGAGTTGCAAAGACGAGCAATCCAAAATACTTCACACTTGAACTGTTCTCGGCGCAAACGAGAATGTACCTATCTCAAAAAAAGCTACAAAAACTTGAAAACACGCTCGCCGATGCAAAGATGATTATCGAAACAGATCCTGTGGGATGTTCCGGTAGAGCAGCGGGTTGGCTGTACATGAATGACGTAAGAGACATTTCATGTCAACTAGTCATGCTCAACGTTCACCGACCCAATTACACTGCTGTATACAAGTATCTTCATGGTAAAGCCGTGAACAGTTGTAAAAGGGCTCTGGACAATTTCAATCGTGACGGAGGAAAGGACGGGCCATTTGGAATCGGGTTTGCGTTATGTCGTTTAGCAATTCTGTTATTAAGGTGTGGGGATAACGGGCTAACGATGGACGTGCAACAACCAGACATTGATGATATAGAAATGGCGGGAAACTACCTCCGCCAGTTAGAGGACTCTGATATCGCCATACCAAAGATCCTGGAGGTTCACTACCTTATTGCCAAGTGTGATCTCCAGTACCGCAGGAGTAACTCGGTCAGGGCTCTAGAGCACGCAGAAGCGGCATACAGACTCGCCACGGAAATCAACATGCTGGAATTCACTGAACATGCTCACAACAGAGGGGTTTTCCTAAGGTCAATGCCTGTATTTAGCAAGGCGGTGGGTGAAGAGGAAGTATCACGGATACTGTTTGATGATTCTGCCGACAGCTTCGATGAATCTGCTGAAGAATACCCATGAACAATATAGTATGTTATTGACATTTTAGAATTAAATTATGTCTCTGAGGGGCCGTATACTGGTATGGTCGTCCGTTAAACATGTCGTTTCCATGCACTAACTTTCCTACATATGATGGAATTTCATGATACTTAGTCAGCATATTTACCTTAGGCTAATTTTAGACTAACAGATTGTACACGTATTCATATCTCAATAGCACATCCCTAAATATGAAACCTCATAAGACAGACGCCATGAAAGATAGTTATATGTCTCTTTTCATAGCTAATTTGTATGGCTATCCATGACTGTAGAATTCTATTTATCATACTTATGTCACCAAGACGCCAATGACCAACTGTTTTGAACACATAAGGAAGGGTGAGTACAATGTCCTATAAGTATGCGACCTTCTTTATTCGTTCTTCCGTAGACGGGTCGTATTATGATGTGACCTTGATCTGTCTGTCTGTTTAACCTTTTTTTCACGTAATAATTTTCCAAAATATCGTTCGATTTGAATGAAATTTGGCCAGCAACTTTAATGTATAAAGACTAAAGCACATTACACTTTCAGTGAACTCTGTTCATAGCTTATGAACATTTTTCTTCGGCTTGGTTCATTCATTTCACGCTCTATGGAACTGTAGTGTTGAGACGTCATACATACAAGGTCATAAATCACGGTCACAAGTCAAACGACTATCATTGGAGCTATTGTTATAACTGTATACATGTGCACCATGTCAATCTTTATCAACATATAAATTCACTAAGCTCCGGGGTATCCTTTGTATACCAAATTGTTTTGTCTCTGTATCTGCCTTATTATGACTGCTGATGAGCGCGTCGCGCGCCCTCATGCTCTTGTTACGGGTTTGCTATACATACTATATGTATTCCTAGATTTAACATGTCTACTTTTTAACTGAAGAATACTCAAAAGAGGTATACATACTTTGTATATCTGTAAAATGACAATCAATATGTTTCGAATGCATAGCGTGTAATATGATGGTTTGTTTTGTTATTTTGTTTTGCTTTGAGATATATATTATGAATTTCTTTTGTTTGTTGATTTTTTAACATTTTTGAAGGATATGAGAGTGAATTCCTGATTGAAAAAAAAAACACAAAAAAACCCCAATTAAATGTCTAATATTGGAACAAAACAGATACGAGTTCTGCATAAAAACAAGGAAGCTATACCCAAATGTTTTGTCTTTGTATCTGCCTTATTATGACTGCTGATGAGCGCGTCGCGCGCCCTCATGCTCTTGTTACGGGTTTGCCATACATACTACATGTATTCCTAGATTTAACATGTCTACTTTTTAACTAAAGAATACTCAAAAGAGGTATAAATACTCGGTATATCTGTAAAATGACAATCAGTATGTTTCGAATGCATAGCGTGTAATAAGATCGTTTGTTTTGCTTTGATATATATATTATGAATTTCTTTTGTTTGTTGATTTTTTTAACATTTTTGAAGAATATGGGAGTGAATTCCTGATTAAAAAAAGCAAAAAAAACCCAATAAAATGTCTAATATTGGAACAAAGCAGATACGAGTTCTGCATAAAAACAAGGAAGCTCTCGTTTTTGTCCTAAGGCAATCATGTTCACGACATTTTGCCCATGAATTGGTATCTTTCATTTTATTGTCTCATTTTTTTTCTCCTTTTTAATTAATAAGTTATATTATACCATGCCTGAAAGATGCGTTCTCGCAGAATGTCGAAAACTCATATGAACTTGATTCCTATAAGATGTACCGTACAGTGCATCATAATCGCTGTGGCAGCGTACTGTGTTAAACTCTTCAGGACTGCGGACTGCACGGTAAAGTGTAAGTTTTGAGCGGCAAACATGGTCGAAGATCTGAACAACATGTATAAACTTGTGTTTGCATAATGGATGAATGTCAATGCAACATTTTGATATGAATACATGACTTCCTCTTATTACGTTTTTTCTGTCAAAAGGTTTGTTATGCATCTTTCTTTTAATCATTTTCACTATGCATAGAATACATTTTTAACAAACTTTTTACGAAATGGCGGAACAGACATTTTTGAGGAAACAACATCATGTTTTCATCGATTATCAGTTCCGTCAGGCGGCAAAAGTCATCGAAACAATTCGGGAAGTTTCTCCATAAGTTGAATTTGAGTCACGTCAAAATTGGGCCCAGATTACCCAAAAAGTTCAACTGATACACACCATTTTCCCCATCCCATAAATCTTTTAAAGACGACTGCCAAAAGCTGAGATCAGTTTTTTCTATCTTTCTAAAAGGTTAGCATAATTTGAATAAAATTGTTGCAAGTCAGAAGGGTTATAATGGATAGATTTAGCCTCTTGCACCTGTACTTGAAAGGTCAAAGAGTTTGAGTGCGAATGAAGGCAAACTACAGAGGATGCTTCTGTGGTAGGGAAGCTTCATTATGACTCTGGATATATACTGTCTGTAACTTTGAGAAACATATGCAAACCGATTAGTGAAGAGTCTGTCGACCATACTATCTACATGTACTAGTCTTTACCCGTCTGCCTGTATCCCAGGACTGCTACCTGTATTACACCATGTTTTGGCGATTTGTTTTGAAGTTTCCCCCCCACTTACATGTTAAACAAACATGACAGTACTGTCTTTAAGTTGGATCGTAAGAATTGACGTTGGATCGACACTGTCATCACAAAGTTCACGGCAGTGATGACAGGATGGTGTCAATTTCTGAATTATAAAGCACGTGAGCTGTTTTATTACCAAGTTACTCAAGACAGGTTTGCTATTCCCTAGCTAAAATGGGAATGCAGCTGTGAAGTATGGAATGATGCTGAAAAAATACTTCTATCCGAGGAACAAAACTTTCAAATCGTCAAAGCTGATGCTTTGTAAGATTGCTTTACACATTACTTCTTTTTAAACTATGCAGGCAAAAAAAAAATGACACAAGTATAGGAGAAATTTTGATTAATACATAACTGCTTTTAATAAGCAAATGTGATGACAATAGGTTATTTATACATTAGTTTTTAAGACTTCGAAATAGTGATATCACTTTTTTGTCACACACATGAAAACAGTCCTTGGAAAACAGTTTACAGGATATTGATGCATCTTTTAATACATTTAGAAATTGCTAACACTTTGAGGAATATAGTGCATCAAATATGACATGTATACACAATTTTTCAGCATTGAAGTAATATGTAGTACTTGGTCAGAATCGATCACTAATGCTCACTTTTCTAAACAAAAAGTTGCTGTAAAAAGTAACTTTTTAGGTAAGTTGATTTAAGGTTGCCAGGAAAAAGTCCATTAAAGTATACTTCTGATTGAATCCACTGCTACAATCAACACTAACGAATAAATATAACAAAACAAAGTGAGCATGGATAATAAATTATTTATTGTTTTCCCTGGAGTTACTGGGCATGTTGCTTTTATGAACTTAACATTTTTCTGTTGTTTTGATAGCACTTTTATGCTCTAAAAATGTGTCTTGAACAGAAAGTAATACAGTAATAGTTCTACATGTATGATCATTCGAAAATTCATCTCAAAGTTTACAATACAGTTATAATTCTACAAGTTTAATAGCAATATCAATTAATTTGCACATAAGATATTTAAAACAAGAAGGTCCCACCTCAGAGAAAATTTGATTCAATAATGCAGTTGCCTCAGGTTTAAAAGGAAAAATCTGCCAATGTAAATAGGTCACATGAATCCACAATGTTTTCTAAGAGTTCAGTAAGGGCAAATTTAATCTAAGATTGCATGCAACTGCAGTTTATCAGTTTGGATATTACGCATATGAACCTTTGATTCATTGCGGACTCCTCCATGAATGGTGGTGTTACATAATCACTTATTGAATTTATGTGTTTCTACTGATACACAGTCATACAACAATATGGATCCTTTATGAATGGTGTATGAGTATGCTGGTCATGCTTAGACTTCACTCGTATAGAAGTATCCATGAGTATGCACCATCCTTTTGGATCACAGGGCGTTTTTTTCAGCATCATTTCAATTAATAAGAATGTCCTCATTTTCATATTGTGTAGTCGTAACCATCTAGGACTTCTGTGGTGTGACCTTGACACCCTGTCGAATCTGACCCCAGCCAATCAACCTGAAAGTTTAGTGTAAATCATTAATATTTATTTACCATCAGATTTCCTTTGATAACACAGCAACCAATGGATAGACACACTATATGAACTGAATGGTGCATATCAAATGTTCATATTGGTACACTGTGCGGTGGCAGGAAAATGAAGCACAAGGCATAACCCCTGTATTTAAATATGGACACCATGTATGTAAATGGAAAAGCCCATCACAAAAGAATAAAATAGATATTGCTGTCCTAAATGTAACACTTAGGCTATTTCAACTTCTCCCTCTTATCAGACCTTCTTATGAACTGTTCACTGATTAAGAGATCCCTAGTTATGGTGTAGGATACAGAACTATTAACCCGGAGGGTCAATGGGCTTTTTGTCCAGGACAGAAATTTCTATTTGTATACCATAATATTTTTTTATTTTTTTTGTCACATATTTCATGACCTGTCAATGGTGGTGTGGTACATTCGGCTCACCATTACAACATAAAATATGTTTTATAGAAGAACTGTCAAGAGAAACTAATCACTCCTGTACAATGTCAAGAAAGAAATCTCAACACCTCGAATATGATTTTTGGTGCTGAGAACTTCGCAAAGCCTTGTGCCAAACCTAAAAACCATCGGCTTGAGATTTTTCTGTCTATATCACATAGGGATTCTGTAAGTCTCCAGTGTGAGAATAACATGGTACATCTGTAAAGGTACATTATATCACATAGGGATTCTGTAAGTCACCAGTGTGAGAATAACATGGTAAATCTGTAAAGGTACATTGTTTCTCACCTCCAGTGTTTTTCCACTCTTCTGCTGAGAGCGATTTTCTCTCCTATTTCTGTACAAACAGGGTTAGTTAATCCAATCTTAGCCAAATCAGCTTTCACAGCCAGCACTCTGCCACCCGTTGACAATGAACCAATGTTTACCATCAAAATCTCATTCTTCGACAACTTTTGCACCTGAAATTAAAATTTCATCTTTTTATAATTTCTCATGGATTGTTACTGACAGAGTAAAAGCATCTGTGTACCTTTTTGTTTTACAAGTGAGGATGTTCTTTGATCTTATGACTAGCAAGTAAAAGAGAAATAACAAAAGAGTTTTCTGGTTTCTGACATCTGTCTACCAAGCTAAAAATGTGGGAGAGGGTAACAGGAAGAACCTACTTCTGAAATTTGATAAAGTGTATGACTAGTTGAGAAAAAGTGGTTAACTTCAATTTTTTCTCCTCAATTAAGCTAAAAATGAAACCTGCTCAGTTGAGAACCAAGTTGAGTTTAAATAGGACTTCACAGAAGATCCCTCAAGTATTTTCTTAGATTTTTTTTTAGCAAATTTTAACTGTCAAATTCTAAGATGGCCACCAAGATGCCAATTTGTTATATTAAAGTTCAGTTTCAAAATTGAACATACTCAAGTAAAAGACCATACCTTCTTGTGAAATTTAATAATGTTACAATCTTCAAGTGTCATAATCCAATATGGCCACCTGAAAGCCTTTTTGTTCTTGCCATCGGTCTCAAAATATAACATGAACAACTAACAACCAGGGGTAACATACATAAAAAATGGAGTAAGATCTGTTCAGCACTTCTTGAAATATAGCAATAAGAAATGTTTAAGGATAGAAAACACCTGGCCCCGGAATCTTGAAACTTCTTAAACCCATTCTTAGTGCTTAACTTTAAGCATATACTTAAAACAGTGTATCTCAAAGGTTCTTAGGTATGCATTCTCAAATTTTAAGTTGAGAACGGGCTCAATATTTGAGAATGGTAAGGAGCATGCTTCAATATTTAAGAACGTCCTTAAATACACAAAATGGCCAACTGTAATTGTCTGATCAGTCATGAAATTCAACCGCTAAAAACGAGTAAGGAGATGAAAGGCACAGTGTTTATAGTTGTTTTTCATTTATTTATTTATTCATAATTAGCCAACACTTCTGATATAATTAGAAAACCAGCATTTGGGGACATTCAATACAGTCTTCTATCACAGGATGTCCATAAAATCAGACATTGGCAAATAACTAATATGGCCTATTTGGTTATGGGGAAAAGGAAAATTTTACCAGAGGATTTGGGTCAGGTTCTGACCCCACCCAAGTTAAATTTTCATATCGCGAATACATGCATAATGATAGGCACCTTTCCTCTCTTACCCAGAATCTTGGTAAAGGAAATGTTATAAATGCAACAATTAATGTCATAGCATTTCTTATTACATTAACAATCTAGTTACAACCTGTTAATCTCGTTCCACGCATTTAAAACTAGGTCATTGCTTTGTTAATGAGAGAAGCATTACATAAATTGTAGTTATTGTTGTTAATTGTTTGATTACCGAACTGGCTGATTAACCAGTTACTCGGTCAGAAGATTTTTCAAGTAACCGGTTAGTAAAGAGCTGTGGCGGGTTGCTATGCCTATTTCCCCAAATCTATGACCCGCTATAGTGTGCGCGTGCAACCGTGCACTATTATGACGCGTACTCAGGTATTTCTTCTATACAGGTAGCTCTATCGGAATTCCATATCTAAGAATAGATTATTGTAAACAGACGAATTTAAGGTCATGGCTATTAATACATGCGTTTCACGAAAAAGACTCAACAAAATGCTTATTTCGCATTATGCTGTATAAAACACAAGATTGTACAATCATTACCAAGTTTGAAAGGATTTAATTATCATTGCTATTGTCTACGTCTTGTTTTCTTAAAAAGCACGCATCTTGAATTTGTTCCTGTACCTTGGAATGGCAAAATTACATATAGTTTTCGAATAGCATATTTTGTATTTTGGCATCATTTGTTCACGTTAAGGTAATAAATAAAAATACTAGTGCCAATTGGAGAGTAAAACAATTTATAAAACAAAGCGTAGCTGTACTGTACATGCGTACAGGGATTTGTTGACATGATCCCATAAAAGGTAAATCAATAGGTATGTTATTAAAATATCAATAAAATGTTCCGTTGATTTGAAAACTATTTTTCAATTTAGTAAGGAAAATGATCACTTGCCTAAATATTAAAAAAGAGAGAAGAAAAAAGTGTATCTGAATGTGAATTCGAACCTACACCGTTCATATTTCTGGTCACAAGCTTATAACTGCGTTACACATAAGGCTACTCCGGACATTGACGAACATGGAAATACAAACTCCTTTAAGACAAGAAACATCTGTCGCAGTTTTGAAAACTTGATCAACCCTGTTTTTCAATATTTTGAGCACTTTCCCAAAGGAGGACCACTTTACCGTCATACGATATGTTTTTGCATATTACATCACGAAATCAAAAACATTATTTCAAAGCTATTCCTCGGATGGGAAAGTATTAAAAGCATTTTTTAAAGTCGATGAAACCCCATCACTTTCATAAATATAGTGAATATGGCTATATTTGCAGTATTATATTAACAATACTGAATATCTCAACAGTCCAAAAATTCATATTCAACTGGTTTAATATCTATTCCATGCATTTTCGCTTTTTAAAAATATTTACTCATCAATATTTTTCGGTTTTCAAAAATGCCGACTTCGGGAAATACAGGCAGTTTTCCGCCCATACCTCTTTGTCTGGTTTGACAACCCTAATTTTAACATTATAGTGAACACGTTAAAATGAGTTTGTTTCTTCAAATTTAACCCAATAGGCATTTTCATTTAAAGTGTGAAACCTTTTTTATCCCCTCCCGCGGGGAGTGGTGGTGGTGTAATGGGTAAGGGGGTGTTTTGTTCCGTGCGTACATATTTATCACCCTTTTTCATCGCTCTATTGCATTCATATCTGAACATATGAAGCTGTACCTTTGTATAGAAAAGTTTCCAGTCATGGTTCTAATGAATCGTCATAAATAAATAAATAAATTTATTCAGTTTAGGATAATTTTTCAATATTTTCTTTTAATATCTAGTATTCAATAATATGTCTGTCATAACAACAAAAATGGTGTCATCTGTTTTTTAATATCCAATTTAGCTTGAAAACTTAATTATGGTTTTCAATGCACTGCAAAAGAAGTGCGGGATTATCTATCCTAGTTAATTCCCGAAGTATTTCATACACTGATATTACCTTTTTTCATTAAAGAGCTCCAAATAGGGCCCCTTATGTATCAACAAACACATTCTTAGTTAAGTACGTTCTCAAATGTTTAAGAATGCCTTCGCGATACATTAATTTGAGAAATTCTCAGCTAAGTACGTACTTAGCTTAAGAATAGAAAGTTAAGAATTAAGAAGTTTCGAGATTCCGGGGCCAGACAGATAACAGCTAGTGGACGATAAACAGATGAACCATGGAAGATGGACTAGAAAAACATTTTGTAATATTTTAAGACAGTGAAGGCATCATTTTCCTTCTTTTCATTCCAGAATAACAACTACAAGCCTACCTTTGCCCCCTTCTTGTCCCCCTCCATTTTCACTCCCAACAAACGTCTCAACAAAAAGAAGGAGATGGTGAGTTCTGTGTAGATGTCTGGCAGGGCACCAACTGCTCCTAGTACACATCCAACCATACGGTCAGCTCGGCACAACATGGGGTCAATCTTTGTGCCAACACCTATAAGATACCAGCAGTTTTAGGAATACCAGGGTTAAAATAGGAGACATTAAATACTCCCGTATTCATGGAAATAGTTGAAAGACTAGGAAATGACATGTGATGTGGATAAGCCATCCTTATCACTTTCAGAGGTGAAATAATTGAACCCAAATAACCCAAGCATGTTAATAACATAAAAATTAAAAGTTTAGAATTATCCTATAATGATTCTTTTTTTATTCCATCAATATTCCTTTCGCAATGACAATGATTTAAGTACTAAATTAACATGTTAAACTGGGCAGATATTTCACATTCAAGTATAAGACGTAATCTGAGTAAAGGGTATTAATTCATCTCTGTATCATAGAACCACACACAAAGCTACTCAAAAATTTCTCCAAAATTGTCTTTAACGCTGTAAGGGATACAAGCGATACAAGCGATATCTAATAATTAAGTGCGAGCTTGAAACCATGCTGTTTAGTTACCGATCAATCCACCAGGTACAGCATACTGAAGGTCATTCTGCTCTGCAAAACATGACAAAATTCTAGAGAATATAGGTGTACACGTTAGTTTTCCATCCTGATCTTTAGACACAGTTCCGGGTCGGACTTCAATCTCCTGGCCAACCTGAGAAGAAAAGAAGCGTTGAGATAAAAGGGAATGTGTTATACCAATCATTAAATCATTAAATGTTTTACACACGTATATCAAAATCATTTAATGAATGAACCTAGTTTGAATAGTGTATGAAAAATTATCAAACACTTCTAAAGATATTTTCTGTGGTACTTTTTAATACTGAAAAATTGCCATGAAAATGTTTTTATAAGTGTCTGTAGATAATAATTCCCACACAAAATTCTGGAAAAAGAACCAAATTGTCATCAAAGTTCACAATTTAACTTTAAACCCATTGTATCCTTTCATTATAAACAACCTTTCATTATACACAAGGATTGACTAAATACCTTGAGGACTCCTTTCAGGATACTTCCACCTGCCACGCCTCCTTTTAGATCATCAACCTCACTTCCTGGTTTGTTGACATCAAATGATCGGATAACTGTAAAATGAATTTAAAAAAAAACATTTAACACAGATTAGCACCAGGAAAGTACTTAATAAGCAAACACAGAGATGTCAGTCTCTCATTACATAAGAGATACACATTTCTGTTTAACTTCAGATTTTTGCACATTTGAACAATTGTGAATGATCATTCTATTAAATAAGTATGAAATCAGAAAAATAACTCTTCATGAAGAATCACATGATAAAAGAATTTGCATGTCAATGTAAAATCTATTGAAGTATTGCAGTCAAAGGTATGTATAATGTATTTGATATAATCTTTTAGAACACAACCTGACATTTACAATAATCAAAATCTGGGTCTAGATATAAAGAATTATCCACTTTTGATTGCACAACGTTAATTTCAATATAGCTGCCACATTTCTTTTATATTACAGTCCTAAGATTGTGTACATCCTGGACCCAAACTTGCAACTTCAAGTCTAATGTAGTTACCTATAAGTCTGGGCTCTGATGTGAAGTCTCGGAGAGGCACAGGAATCTTTTTAACAATATATTCACAGATAACATCTATGTTGTACTTCAGCTGGGCTGATATGGGTATGATTGGTGCACCCTCTGCTATCGTACCTAAAGCAACAAAATAAGTATATTAAAATTGACTGTTTTGGATTTTTTTAATTTTTTATTATTTAATTTAAAAGACTATTATTTGTTTTGGTCAGTCATAAATTCCCACTACATATAACCTGACAATAGTGAAAATATAAACTTTCATTGTTTCACCGGAATACGTATTTGTCAATATCGGTATCAGCTGACTTGGTATTTCTATTGATTAAATTAATTAGATAAAGTTTAGATTTAACTTTTAAAAAGGAAAAAAAAACTACAATCCAATATTTGAAAATATTCAAATGGTAAAGAAAGTACTTTTAATACCAAGACATGAAATTAGATTAATCATAAAAATGGTGTTTGTAAAACTATATAGTAGTAAAAGACAGCCCTACCTTTGACAAATGATAGAATCTGTTCATACTGTTCCTTAGCTTGACTTTCTTTCACCAGATCGATCTTGTTTTGTAAAATAAGGATGTGTTTTAACTTCATGATTTCAACAGCTGCCAAATGTTCCGAGGTTTGGGGTTGGGGACACGATTCATTTCCAGCTGTGCAGGGGAAACAAAGAACAAAATATTACACATAAAACCAATATTACAATATGCATTGCATAAAATCTATTTTGTGACCAAACAAGCAGTTCAACAAATGGGTGGTATCCATGTAATCTGGAAATCCTGAAAAACAGATAATCCTAATCAAATTTAGTGATTGGAGTTAAACACAAATCACAGACATACTGTACGAGGTAAAATATGCTGCTTACATTCAACGTACAAAATTAATATTGTCTCTACTATCATGATCTGTTTGACCTTAACAAGAATAAAATGTATAAATAAAGCTTTAAGTTTTGATTGTCAAGCTTATTACTAAATAGATGTTTTAAAGCATACCAATTAAAAGAAGAGCAGCATCCATGACAGCTGCTCCGTTCAACATGGTAGCCATAAGAATGTCGTGACCAGGGCAATCCACAAATGATACATGTCTGTAAAGAAATAAGAAAATAAAATTTCTGTGCTCAGATCTAGAGGTACAGGTGTTATAACATTCATAAAAACACAAAAATATATAGATAGGTAAAACAGTGTTCATAATAAGTTAACATTTCTGAGAACTGACAGAAACACAAAAGATCTTTACCTTAGATACCACAATTAAAACAATTCCAACATTGTTTTTTCAAAAATAACGTAAAAGTTAGGCAACACATTGAAAAAAAACCCAAAAAAACATTGACTAATGTAGATACTCTAGAAAATGGGTATACAATTCTTGTAGAGATTATTGGATTTTTCACTAATTTCTATCAGTTGTCCTGGCTGTCTGTTTGCTTCAGAAAGAAAATACTATCTAGTTATTACATAAGAGCTGTACAGTCAATGAAAGTCTTACCTCAAAACTTTGAATTTTCCAGGACATCCTAATCTGTCACAAGGGAAAACATCTTCCTTTGAGCTGCCACATGACCTGTAGCAGCCTGGGCGGGGACAAGCATTGTTGTCACATTTGTAAATCTGAAATACATAAATTTTCAGTTGAAAAAAAAATGTGCAAAACTGTAGAGGCCTCTTGTCCTCTTCACAAAATATTTAGGGAGATATTGGTAAAAATAAAATAAATATGTAATTACCTTAGCATTGGCATATCCCAATTTAATTGTGATATTTCTTTCCAATTCATTCTTGAATCGAACAGTCTGAAAGAGAAAGACTGACAGTCAATATTACAGCAACAAAAGTTCATTTCACATCAGTACCCATCATCAATTGTTGAATAGACTTCAGAACAACAGGCGTTGTCCGACCAAAAGGACATTCTCATAGCAAAGCCAATAACAACACTTTGGAGATTCAAATATTACAAATCCTGTCTGAAAACTTTGCCAAGGACTGTTGTACATTGTGCCTTTTAAATACATACTGGGTTTCACAAACAATTTTATTTGCCATAAGCTATTTTTGCAACTAGTTATCGTTGATTGCTACTGGATGCATGTATGTTTTTTGTTCCAATAAGGAACCCCATCCCTCATAGCAAATAGTGTTTTTTCACCATTTTTGTTTCTGTTTACCAAATTATTTCTGTATTAAATGATGCCGACTAAAATTAAAATTTAATAGCATTAAGTAAATTTCCTTTTTTAGAAGTGCATGTTTTCCAATTACTTTTAACCTTATTACACCTTACATTTTCCAACAATTGTTTTTATATTGAACCTCTCAGAAGAATAACTTTTCCACAAACCTGTACACCAGATATGGCTTTTACTACTGTTGATTTTCCATGGGCCACATGACCAATAGTGCCTGCAAAAGTAAGTAAATGGTTACATCATTCACAGATAATCTCATGCGAGATATCATTAAATATGATATGTTATAAAAACATTATAGAATCAAAACAACTATTTCAGCTTGGCTGTATGGTTCTACCTACTTGATTACTAGTTTTATAATATTTATTCAAAGTAAAGTAAAATACTCCATACTGATGCAGAATAAACAAGGTACTGTAACGGTTTCATCAGATTTGAAATGTTGATGTACTGTCAGTCAGATGTACATCAGTAATGGTTGCTTTCACAAACATAGTATCAAGAATCTGAAGCACTATCGTCAAAGGAAAGAATTGTAAAAAAAGAATGATTTATGCTATTTACAAAAATAACTACTTACCTATATTGATTGTAGCTTGACGACTGATCACATCAAGTGTCAGTGGTGTTAGCTTTTCGATTTGCTGAAAGTCCAAGTAATAAAACTTATTGAACATCTTTGCAAATACGTATAGACATTCCAAAAACAAAGAAAGGAAAAATTGCACTATTATAATATGATCAAACATCACCATCAGAGGCCTTTAACATTTTAATTGTCCTTTTAATGGAATAAACCACTATTATCTTACACTGCATTCTTTATCTCAATTCATATCTCATTCTTTCTTCTTCATACTTGAATTTTGGAAATTGAGATAATCCAATTAATACAATAAACATTTTCGGACTCTGATGATGGAATGTAACATAATGTAACATGTAATTATTGAAATTGTTGCATATACACATGATTTTTTACTAAAAATATTAAATCCAACACATGTATTAAAAAGTAGTCACAAAATATGCTGTACAGCAAAATACATAAAATAGAACCTTCCTGGGTTAAAATGTAAAAGACACAATACCAGTTATTCATAAATAACAAATAATGCTCACCACTTTAACTTCTGTCATATCTCAAAATAGTGTAATGCATAAAAAACATTACAAATCAACATAAAAATATGTGTACAATATATACATTAGTATTTAAAATAGTATATAAAAACACATTTAAAACAGTATCTTCCTGTAGTTTCAGAATATTTTTGAACATTCGCTACGATATCCAAAGATGCCTGTAGTTAAATATGATACTGCACAAAAGGATTGTTGCATCAGTTTTATTAATCAGGGGTTATTTTTAAATGTAGTAGAAATAGAATGATGAAAAGAACACACATATGATGAAACCAAATGTATGGCGAAGGGAATACATAACTACATGTACTACTCTTCATAAATTACCAATCATACACTTACATTGTCGTGTCAAATCTTTGTATATTTTTTGTTAAATGAAGCAATCAGATTTCAACTTTACTAATTTAAGAGAATCTGAAGTAGGCTATACTAAAACCAATACATTTCTTGGTTTACAATGTTCAATCATGTACTGGTTATATATATGTGTAATGAAAAATATCACTTGAATAAAACATTGCATTTCGAGTCGACACCTGAAAACTCAAACTGATTTGAATATTCTCCTGTCTGACTTTTCTGACGTATTCTTAGGCTTGGTCTTTGTATAAAGTTTGATAAAAATATGTTTGGAAATGAATTGATACAGCAATGAGATTATCATCCATTTAAAGTCATTTCGACCACTGTGGCATTATCGGCTTTGTTAGGTATTTTAACAAGAGTATTGGTTTATTGTACACGATACTTTACTCAAATGACTACAAATGTATCATAGCATTGTGGGTGCGAAACCGTTAAAACACAATAGTCGAATCATGGTAGGTGTATGGAAGATACCGGTTGATAAGTTCGAATGGACGAACTGACCTGCTTCTGTCATAACCCCCGAAGTCACCATATTTTATTACTTCAGGTTGGCTACGATACTACCCCGTCCGGCAATTTAAAAATATAATTGATCCATGCAAGAAATGAAGCTGAACACAAATACTAACTAAAGTCTTCAAATCTTGTTTAGATAAGTGTGGTTGAAGATTTTTCACTTCTTTTGCTTCGTCTTCGGCTGCCATGCTGTCTGATGCAAGCCGCATTTTCTTGAATGAACAAATCTTCGGAACTCTTAATCCATATGGACGACCAAAGGAAGCGTTTAGATAACTATGATTTCTGACTCGTTCCCAGCTTCAAATCCCACTTATTCGTTCCCATTGCTTCCGGTTTCTCGAAATTATCCAATCAAACTTCAAAACGTATTCTTTTCGAGGCTAATGCTGACCTACATCTTCCTGAGCAAGCGCCTGGCATGAAAACAAAACACACGAGGAAACAGTTTTTGCCAACATTTTTTTTCACGAATCTTAAAAATGAGAGAGGGATAAAGAGTTACGTCATCTTGATTTCTTACATCCAGCCTCATCAATCATTGTCGACCAATGTGTTGGAAAATGAGTTAATGTTTATTTTCAGAAATGATTCAAAAGGCCCTTGTTATTGATTAAAGTAGCACATGTTGCACATGAAGTGCTATATATATATACGAGCTATGCACGTGTATGATTTAGACAGCGTGGAGTCATTATGATACAGACGACATGGATTGCACTTGTCCTGGGAGTTTGGTCGTCCCTGTATTTACTGGACGCATTTCTCAAGGTAACCATATTTTGAAGACTACCCTTATAGTACAGGGATAGACCAAAGTGACTAGATCTATATTGCCTTTTTGGTTCCACTGCGACCCCCTCCCCTCCTTCTAGTAAAAGAAAAAGAAAGAAAAAAATGTATTGTCAGCGTAAATTTCAAACCCCATGATGATAGGTAATATTTCATGACTCCAATTTAACTTTGACGTTGAGATATGAAAACTGAAAATATTGAAAGTTAAGCTTTTAATTTAAAGAATACAGAACAAATTAAATTTAGTCTTTTACATGGCATTGAGGCTGATGCATTCTTGAAAAATTCATCAACATTATAACATGTCAATATATTTTATAAGCAAATTGAAATGAATGTTACAAAAAAGTACATCTTTTATATTTATGTACATTTGTACCTTGATCATGGAGGGGAGGGGTGGATTTCTGTTTTATTAGCTATTGAGAGACATTCTAGCCACAGGTTCAGATCCTTCAAACTAACATATATATTATATTGGTCAGAAAATGAGCTGTTCTTAATTTAGTAAAGTGGGGGAAAAGGCAATGAGGAATTCACTCTAGCTGATTTGTAAAGGTTTAACAAGACATCCAAAAGATCATAATTTTAACCCCATGAAAAATCATATTTCAAGCTGAAACACATTGTTGTGATATGTTAATTGAATTAATTAACTGGTAATTTAATTTTTGATATATTGCACAGCAAATTTAATTCACTGTGAAATATAGCATTAAGGCTGATAATCCTTCATAAAAGTATTTTGACATTATGACATATCAATTTCTTTCAAAACAAACTATGAAAGTTCTCAATGGTTGAATAATGATTATCTCTAGACTCGTGCTGTTGTTTAAAATTTTGGTGTTTTCTGTTCAACAGTCGCACAAATCCTGGAGCAGACATTATATCCACTTTTTGGATAGGACTGGTCTGGCCATCTCCATCTGTCAGCTACGATGGTATTCCACATTCCTCAATCGCACATTTCTGCGTATCGGCCAGTGGCGCCCCAATTTTCTGAAGGTATGGTTTACCTGTGGTGTGGTGTTTGGACTCTTGGCCATGTTGCTGTCCACGTTCCTGCTAACTTTACTTGTAATCAACACCTTCCGGAAGCAGCCTGTGGAGCAACAAATTCTCACCCCTGTTGTAAGTACACAAGTTTTTACCTGTGCAGGTTTCAGGGCAAGAAAAGACTTACTGTACTTCATGATCATAAAATATAAGCCATCTAATCAAGGGGCTCTGCAGGATCAGAGTTTACTTCTGTATCATCTGATAAGGGAATATTTGGAGAAGCCAAAAATGATCTGCTAGCAGTCTGTTCCCATTGCAGCACTTGTAACTTCTAATATATATTTTTTCTTTTTCTTACCTATATGTAGCTACTCCCTTTATCAGCAGTGTCTCTCTGTGCACATCTTGTTTGTCCAGTATCAGAATCACATGATTGGATATGGAGTGTCTGGATGTTAATACAAATTACATTAGGGTACATTTAGTACCATTTGATGGTACAGAAAAATAAAATATGTCAATAAACTACCTGCACTGACAGGTATGCAGACATCTGACAAAAGGAAAAAACGAAATAGGCATTTCAAATGAGCACTGCCGTGTTGAAATAATACAGTTAGGATTTCTTAATCTGACATCATCTTTTAGATGTTTTACTTCCTGGTAGCGATGTGATCTGATTATACAGGGCTATATGGTCATTGACAATATATAAGAGTAAATAGGGTATTTGTTAACTTTTCAAAGAGAATTTTTCACGTCTGATATACTTTCTTTGTAACATTAGAAATAAATCCAAATTCGTTGTATTTGATACAAATAACTTTAATTTAATTATAAGCAACAGTAGAGTTAGCAAATAAAACAACAAGGAAAAAAATACCCTGAAAAAAATCTAAGTATTGTGAAACAAATATTTTAACAATAAGTTTTAGGTATTTTTTATAAATATTTTTATGATATTCTATAGATGCCAGGGATAAACTTACCAGCCAGCCAGGTATCTTACTACCTGCTAACACTGTTAGTGTGTGGCATTCTACATGAGGTGGGGCATGCTGTGGCAGCCGTCAGGTAGGTATAGACTGCTGTTCAGTTGTGTAAAGGAACATGTAACTATAGGCCTTCCATGGTTATCTTGTCAAAGCTTCCTCTAGATCTCCAATACCCAGGTCTTAGACAGTCCATGATTCAGCGTATTGTATTTACCAGTATTGATTGAAAAACTTGTATCGGTGTTTATAAAATTATAATTTCATAATAATATAAAAAAAAACACAGGTGCTGGACACACTCATATGATGTGTATACTGTTATATGATACTGTATACACACCTCATATTAGTGTGTCCAGCATCATGTGGTTTTGATATTATCATCAAACAATAATTTTATAAACATTTATACAAGTTTTTCAATTAATACTGGTACATGCAATACGCTAAAACATCTGATATAATATTTTCCCTCTTGTAATGAATGTCATTTTAGGTTGACTGTTCCATTGGTAATGACATGAATACTAAGGGTATGCATTTGGATCTGTTTTGCATAAAAAATTCAAAGCTAAATATTAAACAATATAGATGAATCTTTAATCTAATGACAATAGTATACACCTGTCTGTTTCGAATGTATAAGTAAAACCTTCATTTCTTAATGTTAGAGATTGTTAGCATACCATTTGAACATGGATAATTTTATCTACAGCAGCAGAAATTTTCTTTGGCCACGCAGTTGTTTTCTTTGATACCTGGTGATTTTAGTTTTTATGAGATAAATATCTTGTGTGTCCCTCTTATATAACTGTTTATACACTGAACAAACTGTACTATACTTGAAATCATAGATCAGGTATAACTTGATATGATAACTGTGAACAAAACATGACACCTGTTCAGTCTGTGCCAACCTTTTTCTCTCTCCAGGGAGCAGGTACGTGTGAACGGCTTTGGCTTGTTCCTGCTCATCCTATACCCTGGTGCCTACGTCGATTTGTATACTGACCATCTACAGGTTGTCTCCCCCATACGACAGCTCAGGATCTACTGTGCAGGGGTTTGGCACAATTTTGTCATAGTGATATTTTCTGTGATTATGTTGGTCCTCCTGCCTTACCTCTGGGTACCTCTGTACACTGCAGGAAATGCTGTGGCCGTCACCTATGTTACCGAGGTATGTTGAGGCAGCATCTTATTTCAGGGACAGAATCTGAATAAAATGTATTAGGCTTGTAAGTTAACAATTTAAAATATTGTGTGTCAGCACATCCAATTATGATGGGCAAAAAAGAATTGATGCAGATATTAGTACTGTGCAGCAAGAACAAACCCATAATACAGTTTAAACTCCATAGTTATGTATGTTGTTTCAAAGACAATTAGACAAATTATTGAGGTATAAGAGTGTAAGGATTTATATTGTTCTAATTGTGTTAATCAAAATGTAAACATAATATGATCATGTCAGTTGCATTCTTAAGATAGGCTGTGAGTTTGGATAGGGCATGTACTAGTCATCAATAATTTCTCCATTAATAACCTCTGACCCCTACCTGTTCAGAATTCAGCTGTGTCTGGTCCACGTGGTCTCAGCGTAGGGGACCCCATCACCAGTGTCAGTGGCTGTCATGTGCGTAACCTTGACGACTGGACCAGCTGCATCAGTTTTAGCATGAGGGAGTCTTCACTTGGACACTGTATGGCGATCGACCTTGTGAAAAGTCTCGACACCAAAGATCGAAGTATGTTGTTGGTAGGGCTATCACTGTAAAGTGAATTGGAAATCCGGTGTATTGCAATGCACAAGAATATAGGTGATAAGTTCACTATCGGTCACCTTATAATGGGTGAATGGTGGTGTAAAACATTTCTGAAACCTTCTGAAAACCTGAGTTTGATAGTAATTGCAATTCTGACTGCACTGTTTGATCAGTGTCAGTGTTTCTTCTGGGTTTGGAATATTTTGCCATAGAGACTATTGTAACAATTCATGTGTTGTAGAAAGGTTATGTATCACAACCAGTAAGTGTTTATGTCTGATGTTTCATTGACTAGTAGAGTACACACCTGTCACCTTCGTTAGACAAATGACAAGTGAATTAGCGTATGTACCCAAAGGTTTAAAATATGCAGGAGTGGGCAATATAAAATTGAAGTCTATTCGGATACGCTATAAGTGTATTACACTTAGTTATTATAAATGCACGACAATTTGATTCTGCTATGGTCATGGATGTGCCAGATTACCAGTTGTGATATATAAGCTTTCTTCAATACATACTTACTGAAACCAACCTGAAGAAAATGTTTAAGAAAAAAACACCATATTGTCTGTTTAATAAAAAGAATTAAATGCATGCAAGTTGACAGAAAATGTATTTAACATGCCCAGGTTAAACTGTGATCACGAGAGATCATTCATTATACCTCTAATGTTTCTTTTCACAGTATGATTTTGGTAAGACCAGCAATTACACCTTTAGAATTTTCTTATTTTTACAGATTTATCCATATCTGGCAAGTCAGAAGCTTTAGACTGTTGTAATAGCACCAGCAATACTCACCTGTGTTTTAGATTCCATGTCAAAACCTCCCCAGAAAATGTGAGTCTTTTTATTAATATTTCATAATTTTGAAATAACAACTCATGACATTTTTTTGCTTAAATTTGAGTGGTTCTAGTATACCCGTACAACACATTTACACACTATAATGTTATGTAGTCCAGACCAGGTATCTGCTGTTCTAGTAAATTATGTGAAATGTTATTCATGTTTGAAATATTTACAGATTGTTTAACTCTGTACTACACTATTTTGTAATCATTTTTCGCTAAATATTTACACATCAATATTGTTTACAATGTCATTAGCATCAACTGGTCTGGACACAGTAGCTACATAGTTCGGTACTAACTCTATCTTTAACCCACAGAACTACCAGAAAGAAGTTTAAGTGGATGTGATAAGTAGCCGATATTTAATGGTTTCTCATTGAATACCATGATTAATAAAATCTTTTACATGTAACTGAGTTAGATCGGGTTATCTCAGTCGAGGGTTGTGTTGTAACCAAATCCCAACCGAGGCGTAGCAGAGGTAGGGATGTTACAGAATCTTAGCCCGAGACTGAGATAACCCGATCTCGCTTAGTTACAGGTAATTGATTTTTTTTAGCACCTTTTAATTCGAAAAGAACTATTCAATCTTGCTAAAAAACATAAGTATCCCACCTTGGGCCTTAAATGATAATGTTCTCTTAACTACTAAAGCTACATTTGAATGCTTCCGCGTAAAAATGTAGTCCATGCTTGCATAGATTACAACGTATTTCACAGTGTAAAAATTAGATTATATTTTATCTACAACATCAAATATCTAACAACATCAAAACTATACATATAACGACAAAACAGAACATTAATAATGCAAATTGTCAATTCAAAGCAGTTAACGTGCAAATGAATACATTGCAGTGTAAAAATTCCCCGACAAAAACAAAATCATTTATTTAAAAGATAATCCAGATGTGGACATCCAGGCAGCCCAGACAGATTCTAGGCAGCCTTGGGCAGCTCATCTTCAGAATCCAGCAAAATTGAAGGCTGTGTACATGCCACTATGTGGATGATACAAATTGACTAGTTTTATCCTTTGATGTACATCAAAAGAATCATGTGGTAACATAATGGTAAAATTGAGGGACTTTGAAGTCGAGTGTTGCTCATCTGTAGTCTTCAAAGGACAGGTATCAGCTTAGCAATTGTTTATTTTACACATGCAATAAATCAGTTAGCTAACTGTGTGCCTTAGATGTTGTAAGGACATGTTCCAAGAGCTTAAATGAGATGTGTATCGAGAGCAGACCTTTGGATTTCAAAGATGTCAGTAGGCAGGCTACTGAAAATTCAAACTCTTATGTATCAGGATCAGGGATAACGCCATTGTACATCACTCTTGAATGTTGTTTCTTAAAATTATCTTCAAAGTATAATTGTAATAGGATTATTGTCCCCTCACAACCAAAATAGAGGGGATATAAGATTCCACGCATATGTACGTATGTTACACTCTTTGCCATCGCTCTAGCGACTTCATTCCTCAACGGAATTGCATGAAGCTTCATTCAAGTGTTTGATATGACAATACCTTGAACAGGTTCGCATTTCAGGTTTCTACGTTGAAGTTCAAGGTCACTTACTATTTTTAGAAAAACTGTCATCGCTCTAGCAACTTCATTACTGAACGGAATTTCATGAAGCTTCATACAAGTGTTTGGAACAGCAATGCCTTGAACAAGTTCTTGTTTTGGGTTTCTACGTTGAAGGTCAAGGTCACTGTTACTATTTTAGAAAAAAACTTTGTCATCACTCTAGCGACTACATTACTGAACAGAATTTCATGAAACTTCTTATAAGTGTTTGGTACGACAATGCCTTCAACAAGTTTGCAATTCAGGTTTGTGTTCAAGGTCAAGGTCACTATTACTACTTTTAAAACTTTGTCATCACTCTACCGACTTAATTCCTCAACAGAACTTCTTGAAACTTGATACCAGTATTTAGTATCACAATATCTTGAACAGTTACTGCGTTAAAGGTGAAGGTCACTGTTACTGTTTATACAAAAAACATTGTCATCACTCTAGCGACTTCATTTCGTCTTACATATGTCACAATGTGTGAATGCGAGGGGATTTGTATCACTTGTGATGCCTTGCTTTTATATTAAACTAATATCAGTGGTAATGAATGTCTATAGCAGTATGTTCATAAAGACATTATACCAAAAACTGTGGTGAGGCAATTTCTTACCAATGGCAAATAAATAAAGAAAAACTTTTTCAATATACATGTTAACTCAGTGGTATAATCATCCTTAAAGAGATAAATTAGGTATAAACACTGATTGTTGATGTAGATTTCATGTCAAAAGTGGGTTTGATTTTAATATATTTATTTTGTCTGTAAAAGTTATGTTAAAGATTCAAGATAAATTGTTATGTTTCTAAAATACTATGAATTCTTTTAACACTGTTAATTTATAAAATGTGTTCTGGTGTGTAGTCGCCTGTGGAGCAGGTATGTATCGAGTGGCTCACTGTAGAAGATGGTTATTGATACAGGGGTGTGATGGAGACAAAACCATTGTCCTGGTGTTGGTCTTTCTCTGGTGTTACTTCTGGCTATTTCTCATTCTTGTTTGATATTTGCAAACTTTTCAGGAATTAATATAGAATCAAAGGTAAAAAACCACCAAGGAAATGAAAATTGTGTTTCATGGCTTAAAAAAGTCAGTTAAAGAATTTCCTTGATATTCATAAATATTAAGGGACCATTTAAAATTAAATTGGTCAACTTATTTTCATTTTAAACCAGAAAGTGTACAACTACAGCTTTCACTATAACAGTCTATCTTTTGTTGTCACCTGTCCTTAAGAATATTGAAGAACGTGGGGAACTGGGACGGTGTCTTGTCAGTAGGTGTTCCTTAAACTGTACATTTAAATAAATTGATATATTGTTATATTCATTTGTATGATTGGAGTTTTTTTCCTTTATTTATTGAGTAATGCCTTAAAAATTGCTTTAACACAGCAGTAAACAAAGTGACAATGCTCGGTACACAGAACCCTTCTGTGGAGGGATGTGAAAAATTCACATAAATTGCAGTTACCTCACTACTTTATTTGGGTTTAATAAATTGTTCTCACTACTTCTCCAAAAGTATTGCATCGATTTTAATGACATTTGCTGCACAGAACTTTTACATCAAGAGAATGTGAATTAAGAACGTAAATACATGATGTCTCCCCAATATTTGGAGTTATGCCCCTTTGTTTAAAAGATTGTTTGTATTTCCTCCATATATAGTATCATACTCTTTTACTTGAAACTTCCTAGAGTGTACACAGAATATATATAAATTGGAGTTAACCCCACTCTTTATGGAATTATGCCCTTTTGTTTTAAAACATTCCCAAAAGATCTATCCCTACAGTTCTTGTTGCAGACAGAAGGTTATTTGTCTGTAATTCTGTTGACAGTTCTAGTTATTTGTCTACATTCTGGTTTTCTACATTTCCTGCATGATTATGGTAAAGGGTCCAGTAAATTCAGTTTGTGTGAGAATATTTCGTTTTTATCCCAAGAACAATAACTTACGAGTTTATTTAAAGTGTCATGGATGTATTTTGTACCATTTTGAGCTGTCTGATGCTATATATGTATTGTTTGCAGTAAAATGTATTGCCTTACATGGGTAAATCAGAAAAAAGGAAAAGCAATTCAAACACTCATGTATAAGCATATAAAATATATATTACTAAACAATTCTCTGGAACTGTATGACATAAGCATTGTTTATCTCCTTGTGTTTTGATATTTAGATGTTTGAGGAGGAGGAACATGTCAGTGGTATTAAGAGCCGTATAAAGAAACATTATATCAATTATTTCTTTTCAGAAATTTGCATGCTTACCTGCACGATCAACAACAGATCGACCAATGTGTAAGTTCCAGAGTGACTGCTACATCCCCAATGTGGATATGGTATGTGTTTACCCATCTGTAGACAACGACACTCGGCTGCTTCAGGTACACCATGGCAGGAAACCTCCCCTCCTCTTCCTTGGTCATCCCCTTGACCTGCACTACTCAGGTAAAGTACCTTACAGAATGACTCGGGTATATACAGGTCAGGTATCCAGACTTGCATTTATACAATACACTTATATATCAAACTTACAGTAAAGAAGTAAGATAGACAAACACGACAATACACAGTCAGACTTAAACAATACACAGATAGGGTAGTCAGACTTAAACAATACACAGGTAGGGTAGTCAGACTTAAACAATACACAGGTAGGGTAGTCAGACTTAAACAATACACAGGTAGGGTAGTCAGACTTGATAATACACAGGTAGGGTAGTCAGACTTCACAATACACAGGTAGGGTAGTCAAACTTGACAATACACAGGTAGGGTAGACAAACTTATCAATACACAGATAGGGTAGTCAAACTTAACAATACACAGGTAGGGTAGACAAACTTATCAATACACAGATAGGGTAGTCAAACTTAACAATACACAGGTAGGGTAGACAAACTTAATAATACACAGGTAGGGTAGCCAGATTTAATAATACACAGGTAGGGTTGAGTCAGACTTAATAATACACAGGAAGGGTAGTCAGACTTAACAATACACAGGGAGGGTAGTCAAACTTAACAATACACAGGTAGGGTAGACAAACTTAACAATACACAGATAGGGGAGTCAAACTTAACAATACACAGGTAGGGTAGACAAACTTATCAATACACAGATAGGGTAGTCAAACTTAACAATACACAGGTAGGGTAGACAAACTTAATAATACACAGGTAGGGTAGTCAGACTTAATAATACACAGGAAGGGTAGTCAGACTTAACAATACACAGGTAGGGTAGTCAAACTTAACAATACACAGGTAGGGTAGACAAACTTAACAATACACAGATAGGGTAGTCAAACTTAACAATACACAGGTAAGATAACTTAACATGTTCCTTTATATAATGATGTATATATTTTAGTGCAAAAGTACTAGGGCAAACACTGCTACAATAAAAAAAAGTACTGCTACACTAAGAATATGTAGAGTCATATTAATAGCCTTTTGTATAGAATTTTGTTATGTGTTCAATATTTGAAGCCTTCTGTATAGACTTTTAACACTATTGTTTATTTCATTTTTTAGTGAGTCTGTCAAATTTTGTACCAAGATTTTCATTTGTGCCTGTTGGATTTCCTGACATGGTGGAAACTTTCAGCAAGTATCCTTTATCTGTTGGCTGGTTTGTGTTGTAATGTCAGGTGATAAATGATGAAATAAGTTGGTAATAAGATATTAAGCAGAAATATGTTCTGAAGATTCAAACAGCAACATGTATGAAACATTGAGTCCCTATCTAATTATAGAGTCATGTATGCAAGATAAGGGTTAATAGTCAATTACACTACATGTATATAAATTATAGTTACTTCTGGAATTATATTATTCATACAGTTAAAGGTGACTGATGTTTAAACATTGATTAAAATGCAATAAAACATGTTGATGCTTTGCTTAACTGCTATGATGTAGTGAATGTAACCTTAATTAGACCAGCTCTGGTAATAAGATAGAATAACACCCATTTGATTGTTACTATGATTTCCTTAACCTTTGCTGAAGATATCTGATATCACTGTCCGGAGCGCTGGTCATCCTCAATGTGGTGCCGTGTTACGCCCTGGACGGTCAGTGGATCTGTAGTGCCTTTATAGAACTGAGTCTACGCTCCACCATCCCCGACAGGGACACACGAGGCATCATCTTCACTGTGATACTGCTCTACGGTACAGGGCTTCTCTTCGTCAATGTTGTCATCGCCATGTGGACACTGTTCTCCTAACACTGGCTGTACGGCCCAATCACACAGCAGAACACTATAGTCATCGTTGTGATCATTGATCTAACATCAAGTTATCACCATCTGGAAACTTCTCCCAACACTGGCTGCAGCGGCCCATCACACAGCAGACACTCTAAAATCATCGTTGTGATCATTGATCTACACTCAGTCATCACCATCAGGACACTGTCAAATGGCCACTGTTCTTCATCGGCAGCGACTATGCTGTTGGTCTACAGTAACGATGTATTGTGATATTTGCTTTGATGCAGAAGTTGTGAACTGAACACGGGTCAGGTGCCCCACGACCCACACTAGAGTTATGGCCCTTTGTTTATATTTCGATATCTAAGATTGTCCAGAGCATGACTTCCTTGGTATGTCATCTACATTCACCTAACTCACTTTACTTACTTGCTGTCTATTATGTGAAGACTGAGTGCTGCACACTGAAACCAGGTCCCATACTCACGTTCTGTACAGAGTTATGGCCCTTCGTAATTATTTGATACCGAAGGATGCGAGTTGCACATTAATTTCACATTTCATGCATACAGTTAACCTGTTATTTTATTACATATTTTCGTACCAATCAATTCTATTGTTTAGTAATATATATTACTTCAGAATTTAGTCATTTAATCCCAAATATTCACTCAGAGCTTGCAGTAATAATAAGTTTGTGAAAACTTTACCAGAATAATTTGGATTAACTGTCTCACCTTTGATTTTGTACATTTCTTTTAAGACCACCATACATTTTTTTCTTTTTTTTGTCATCTTTTTGGAGAGGTTTTTTATGTTTATAAAAGCACATTCTACAAATTAGCAAAACAGAAAATCATTTTTGAAGTTGTATATAGTTTCATAGATATACATCAACCAGAATGTACCTCCATGACAGGATGAGATAGGAGAGCGAGTGCTGTCTGTTGTGATGTATGATAATCTACTGTGTGAACACTGTGTTGCATTATATTTTAATTAGTTGTAAAAGATATGGTTAAATGTTTGCAATATATGTAGCTAGAAATGTGTAGCATTTATCTCATAACAACCATAGGACTCATTACTCGAAAACTGATGGGCTTTTTTCATGATGATTTCATTTCAAAGTTTGCAATAACATCACGGGGCATGATGTTGCGTCTTATTTCAAATTTTATCTCAGAGAAGTCAAACATACATTTAATATAGGTTAGGAGAAATCCTGGATATTGTAACATAAAAAAGTAATGTGATCTGTGGTAAATGGAACAGTCAATCTTGTGAGTTTAGTCATGAATATAATCTACTTGCTGAGGGCTTATTCTTGAGAATTAATTCTATGGGATACAAATTTGAATCATCCTTTATTGGACATGCTCTATTTATAGTGGGGAGCAGAGAGACTTATCATGGATTATCTATGAGTGTAGGGGTCCAAGCAATTGTTAGAATTTGTATAGTGAAGCAGGTAAACCGATATTGTTTGTGGATAAATAACAGAAAGTGCCTCCCTATGCCCCACTTTGAAATATATTTATTTCTTGAATAGCTCTGTATAAACATGACACTCGACATATACAAAACATGACACTCAGCATATACAAAACATGACACTCAGTATATATAAAACATGACACTCGACATATATAAAACATGACACTCAGCATATATAAAATATGACACTCATCGACATATATAAAACATGACACTCGTCGACATATATAAAACATGACACTGGACATATATAAAACATGACACTCAACATATATAAAACATGACACTCGACATATATAAAACATGACACTCGACATATATAAAACATGAAACTCAACATAAAACATGACACTCTACATATATAAAACATGACACTCGACATATATAAAACATGACGCTCGACATATATAAAACATGACCCTCAACATATATAAAACATGAAACTCAACATAAAACATGCCACTCTACATATATAAAACATGCCACTCGACATATATAAAACATGACCCTCGTCGACATAAATAAAACATGACCCTCATCGACATATATAAAACATGACAATCAACATATATAAAACATGACAATCAACATATATAAAACATGACAATCAACATATATAAAACATGACCCTCGACATTTATAAAACATGACACTCTACATATATAAAACATGCCACTCGACATATATAAAACATGAAACTCAACATAAAACATAACACTCTACATATATAAAACATGCCACTCGACATATATAAAACATGAAACTCAACATAAAACATGACACTCTACATATATAAAACTTGACACTCGACATATATAAAACATGAAACTCAACATAAAACATAACACTCTACATATATAAAACATGCCACTCGACATATATAAAACATGAAACTCAACATAAAACATGACACTCTACATATATAAAACATGCCACTCGACATATATAAAACATGAAACTCAACATAAAACATGCCACTCTACATATATAAAACATGCCACTCGACATATATAAAACATGACAATCAACATATATAAAACATGACCCTCGTCGACATAAATAAAACATGACCCTCATCGACATATATAAAACATGACGCTCGACATATATAAAACATGAAACTCAACATAAAACATGCCACTCTACATATATAAAACATGCCACTCGACATATATAAAACATGACCCTCGTCGACATAAATAAAACATGACCCTCATCGACATATATAAAACATGACGCTCGACATATATAAAACATGAAACTCAACATAAAACATGCCACTCTACATATATAAAACATGACACTTAACATATATAAAACATGACACTAGACATATATAAAACATGACACTTAACATATATAAAACATGACACTTAACATATATAAAACATGACACTGGACATATATAAAACATGACACTTAACATATATAAAACATGACACTCAACATATATAAGACATGACACTCGACATTTATAAAACATGACACTCGACATTTATAAAACATGACACTCGACATATATAAACCATGACACTCAACATATATAAAACATGACACTCAACATATATAAAACATGACACTCAACAATATAAAACATGTCTTATGGAATGGTTGGTTGTTATTTGCGGGACCAATATGGATTGTGATATTTACTGAATTGCTCTTTCTATTAAGATATATAATGTGTAGAATCTTTGAAGTTCTGTATTTTTTCTAGCAGAAATTGAACATGTAGGTAATTCGTTTATTTAAACAGGCCATACTATTCATAAGTGCCTTATATGTTATCAACTGTGTATTTCACATAGGCCATCATATAAATGACAGCTGTGGGTTGTTAAAGGTATTCCAATCTCATTTCTTTATACAGCCTGTTACCTGACAGGGTACAAAACAATGAAATTGAAATATTTTTTTATTTGAAAACATGCATGACAATGATGTGGCGATATCATTTGAATTGTAGTTCAATGAACATGGTAGTAAATTAAGTCACAAATATCCATAGTTGGATACTAAATGTAGTACCATTGTTACTCATTTAATTGTCATGATAGAGATATCTTTCTTTAAATCTGCTATTACTTTTATGCTGTAGTTAATATCGAAGTTTGCTTCATATTATTCGTTTAAGTTCTGATTTTAGTTTTGGGAATAATGTTATGATAGTACTTTATTGATGTTTAAAACATGCTATTCATATATTAAAATAAAAAAAAAAAAAGTTTCTTCTACAAAAAAAGTATGATACTCTTATCTGCTATGAATTTATAAGAATATTGGATTCTTAATTATTTGGGCAGTGCAGTCCATGTAATGAGGTAACTTTATTCCATTTGATTGATTTCCATCACCAAACAGGGTTGTGATCTCCATTTCCATCGTTAATCCGACATCTATGTATACAGCACTGGGTTGCAGTTGCACCAATAAATTAACATTCAATGAAATGTCACTGGGAGAAAAAGTAATTTTTGAAAATGCTAAGACACATTTACAATTTGGAGCATTTATGAATCATATATTTGATTGATTCTAGTCGTACTCGTAAATTTAAATACTGTAAATGTGTTTCCGGGGAAAAAACACAGAATTGGAGCCCATAGAGTTTAGGGCTACGAAGCATGACTGTCTTAATTAGTGCTAATTTGTTTGACTATTTATACTACTTTTTTACATACAAGTATATAAGTTCTGTCATTTATTTTAAAGTTCAATGACAAAATTTCCGTTAACCTTATAGAAGAACATGTTTTGTAGTGTTATTATGTCTCCATCACAGTGGTAGTCACCAGACTTCTAATAAGGTGTGTGTTGAGTACCAGGTCTTAAACATTCCACCTCAATTAAAAACTTGTGTTGGTTCAGACTAAAAGTCATATTTTGAGCCAAATCTGTCTTCAGGAGACCAGGGAAACAACAGTTTATATCACCCTCTTTTTTGTTGTTTTCAGATCATAACCTAATGCTTTGGTTAATAATTATCTGATTGACAGTTAGAGAAATGTGTTAACTGTGTGAATGAATTCTGTAAAATTATACTATGAGCAAAAAGAAAGAATGAAAGTATTGTATGTGAAGACTGAATCTAAGATTTTTGAATTCATGAATTTATGAGTCGGTAATACTATGGGTTTACAATGTATGTGGTATTTATAGGGCATTTCATTGTATTAGTGGTGAGGATATCTGTATAAATGGAGTGTACGAACATGTTATTGTGAACGAGTCCTCTACTGTATAACCAGGGCATGTTTTCAAAACTAAAATGTTTTAACCAGGAGACTTCCAATGTATATGGATGAAACTTTTAAATATAATACCTATTATAAATATAATAGGGGTTAGGCTTGACAGACTTGCAATTGTAAGAGAAAATGTTGAAAGTCTTTTTCAAGCTTGCCAAAACGCAACACTAGACCACTAGGTCCATCACTCATGCAATCAACTATATGAATGATGATGAACAAAAGAGGGTTAGAGAATTATTTGACTAGGTCACATGTTTTATATGAAATTTTGTATTTTATGTATGAAAAAATTCTCTTTTTTTGACTATGAATTAATTTTAATTTTACAATGCCTTATAGATTTGATCAGCTTATCAAAAAGTCATGATTTCATCAACATCATGATTTAAACTTGTATTTGAAGATTTTCTGTGGCCCTAAACTTGTCAAATTGGTTTCTCATATTTCACCTGAAATCATATAAAAGCTTCTAACTTAATCGCTGTGTTTTCAAAGTGAGGAACAATATACATGATTTTTTAAAACATTTTACACATTAAAATATATTTTTCACTCTAGACCCTACCAAGACTTCATATCATTCAATGTTGACCATAAATATCACATACAACTATAATGTCCTGATATCAAGCACACATTGAGATGTGGTTAAAGAACAGCCTCGCCCCAATCTTATTTACATGACATTTAGAAATTAATTTTCATTTATCAAACCATAACTTACCTACTTTTCTTATGGAATTCACTTAGAATCAAATTCACTGCTGAAAGTTGAGTTATTATTCATCTGTATTTTAAAATTTTGTTTGACAATATGGTAAGAAGAGTAAATACATTTATTTCCAATTTGTGATATTTGTCAAAAATTAGTAGTGTGAGATTGAGTATAGATGAATTACCTGTGGAAAGACATACTTAATGTTATAGGTCTGATTGTTTATAAGGTAAAGACACTTTCCAAGCTCTTGTTTCATTTTTTTGTAGAAACATACAAATAGGGGCAGTTTCATACTTGTCAGTGGTCTTTTACTAGATGAATACCTAAAACAAATTCTTGTCCAAAATTTCTTTTAATATACAAGTATAGAGAGTGTGTAATTTCTGGCTTATTTGTTGCCATGAAGTGATGACATATTTGTAAACCTTACCTGTTTGTTTTGTACCAGTAGTGCCACCAGTTGTGTGTCCCATTGTACAAGAAGAGATGCTCTATACAAGTGCTTCTTATTTTTGTTATGTACAAGTACAAGTGCTATATACTATATAATAGTAGTTGTGTACAAGTACAAGTGCTATATACTATATAGTAGTTTTGTCTTGTATGTAAGAAAGGCAGTTGCAAATGCTCGTCCTGGTCGTGTTGGTCTTGTACAAGTATAAACAGTGTATTTTATTCGTCTTGTGTAAGTGTATAGAGACTGTCAGAGATCAGTCTGTCACTGTGTACCTGGATCTCCTCCCCTATCTACTGTTTTATTGAAGGTCCTTCCAAAGTCCAGCTTATAGAGCAAACACCTTAAAATAATTCTATCCAACTCATCATGTTCTGTGTCTTGTGTATTTCAATAGCATTTTCATAACTATTCAGTTATTTATGAAATTATGTGCTCATGTTTGAATGTTTCCTGGCAAGAAAAATGTTCCTTTTTGTTGACTATTTTCTTGTACTTTTATTTGTATATGGTATGTATGTTCGACCTTAGATATTCATGTATTTTGGGACATTGGTTACAGTTATAATTGCAATTGATATGAATTTAAAATTTGAGTAATAAATTCTTTTAAAAATCAAAGCATTATTTTCTGATCTTTTTAGTTATAAATTGAAGGAAAGCAATGATCTAAGCAAAAACACATTACCAAGGGTATCGGGCTTCTATATATAGCAGACACAAGATTTAACCACTCTAAACAAAGGAGACTTTGATCCAGCTGATACAGAATTTACTGATCCACTCCAAAACTGTTGGTACTCGATCAAGGTCAAGATGGATAATCCATGCGGACTAGTCACACCTCATTTTGTCAAACGTGTCATACCTCGTACTACAGTTCCATCTCATCATACCTGAATTACAGATATGGAAAGTTGTATTACTTCCCATTAAATACATATTGAGAAGTGGATTTTTAGATAAGTGTCGACCAAGTACTTCCTGCCTTATATAAATCTTCCTGTTGTTACATAACAGAAGAGAAAAAATGCTCAGCCAGACCTGGACTGGAACACAGAACCTCCAAAGACAGATTCTCTACCTTATTCAGCTACCTGCACGCTAGCTGGTTGCCGGCTAATGACTGGCAAAGTCTAGTTCAACTATATTCCTTTCTCCTTTAATAAAGTTTTGGACCCTGAAGACACACACTACCTTATACCACCTTCTGTGAGTTTATTTATTTGAGCCCAAAAAAGGAAAGGAAAAAGCTATCTGGTCCCCGCCATCCACCTACTCTAACATCTTCACCAATTCCTGTATAACATGTAATTTTCTGGGTGGATACACTTTCATGCTTTTCGCAATAAATGCAAACCATCAATTCAACACTTCCACTAAATTTTCTGTAATTTGAATATATGTCTCCTGGGGTGCGGTCATATCAATGCAACAGTGAATTAATTACATTTTTTTCTGCTCTGATTGCAAAATAACCGATCACTAATTAACCATTATAAAGAACTTTGAAATTGATTGAACTAACTTAAAATGACCTTGTCAACATGGATTTTAAATCTTTCCCATGTATTCCTTGACAGGAACTGGAACTAGATTGGTAAATACTTCAGAATTTTTAAAACCAAAAGCTGAGGGGTGATTGCATGGAAAAAAGGCAAGCTCTTGATTCCCTCAGTCATTTTGGTGGCGAGAGTATAAACAATTAAAACAAAGTTTATCTAAAAATAATTTTATTTGATTCTACAGTCGTCAACCACCTGCAGAACTGAATTGCACTACACATATTCTCATGAATCAAGGTCGATTACTCTGTACAATGAAACAATCATAACAAGCACTTTAACACACATATGGAATGACGATCACACATATACAGACAAAACACATGTCAACCGAACGGAGATCCTCCTTAAAATATTAAGATTTTTGAAACCTTGTGTGACACGAATTGTTGATTTTGATGGTAAATTAAGATGTCAATACAATGTATATAAAATGTTAATTTACTTTTGAGGTAAGTAAATACATGGTAAAACAAAAAATAAATGAGATATTAAAATATGAACAATTGACAAAATTGTGATAATGACATTTTTTCTCGACAAAAGATCAAAAGTGTTATGGTCACTTTTACAGTGCATGTATTAAGGAAGTTCTGAACTCCTATAGAACTACGACCAGTGAAAGAAAAGTCTGAAGTGCTAGAATAATAATGATTTTTTTTAGGGCTTCATAGTCTGGGCCCGTAATATGTAGCAGCATAAGTAAAACCAGACTCTTATTCATGCTTTTATGCTCATTCGAATAATAGAAAATTTAAAAGGTATGGTCATGGTAAAAGCTAAGAACCCTTGCATTTGAAAGTAGGCCCATCCTATATACCACAAAAATAAACCATGTACCGCTGATTGGCTTATCAATATAGCCAGAAGGAATTGTATTATGAAGGATTTTTAAATTGCCTATTTAATCAATTTTATGCTAAGTATGTATTTTTGATAACTTACAAGAAATGTATATCAAATAATGCTTAAAACAACTAAAATCAACAGAAACTCGTCCTTACAATCATAAAACATGAATTTCTACAATCATGATATAGTATGTAAAAATGTTGGATAGCATGACATGGACATATGTATAAAATATGGCTGGTAGGAATAAAGTTATATACATAAACATCCTACAATATATACAGCAATAAGGAGTATATTATGTACAAATTACATGCATAAAAAACATTTGTTGTATATATACACCAGGTACATAAAAGTTTGATGTAAGCAATGCAGTATTTGATTATGTGTATATAGTATGTATATACATGGACACACTAGAAGTTTAAGTAACAAATTATTAACATACAAAAAAATGAAATAAAGACCTTAAAATATTTGGAATGATACATATGCTACCATTATCCTGCTTGGAAAATTTAATCTTCACAATATTCTTTGAACATTAACATATATGGTCATTTTCATTGTAAGAATCAACATAAAAAATCATATATCAAACTAATATTCAATGAGAAAAAACAAATCAAAATTCTAAAAAAACACATAAATTAATGATTATACATTTTAAAATGCTGCCTTGTGGGAATTGCAAACAAAATCATTTAAAACATTGCAAAGGTACAGTTATTGTCATAAATAGCATAGTTTTACATCAGCAAGATAAATAATTTTGGTTCGACTTAAAACAATGACTGGATATTTCCGATAATACAGATACGGATGCATTAGGAACGTAAATAAAGACTGACATAAATTGTACGGAATGAAATATAAAACCTTCATAATATCTGGAATTTATTATGGATTTTAAATAATGTTTTAAAAATTCAATCACCCCCTCCCGATAAAACCGTTATCATCTATCACCTAATGATGAGTTTTTACATTGATGACAGGTTTTAATTTGTAGGAGTTCTCTTCCTTACCATACTATCATAAACAAACCAGCTGTCAGGTAACACTTTCATTCTGGAAAAAACACTGTAGATGCATGGTATTTAAACACTGTTTGAATTGGAATGATATGGTGATCAGACCTGCCAAAATGTTTGAATCTTGTCTCAGCTCGTTACTCCAATGGTTATACTGTGGTTTCTTTGCTTGATGTCTTTCTTTATGCTTTGCCAACTACTGTATGACGTAATTACGTAGAAATTCTAATGTTTGTAGATCAATTTTGTCACAAATGCATGGATATTCTATTAACAAACTATTGATCATAGTTTTTCTTCCTAATATCGAGAAACATTCCTTACCATTGTGAATTTATATTTGTAACAGAATTAGTGATTGGATACTTAGTATACTTCCTTCCTTAACGAAAACGAAAACGAAAATAAGGAAGAAAGTAACATTCTGTTAGTTCTCCTATAAAACCTATTTTTTTAACTACCCAGAAATGTAAGTACTTGTATAAACAGGATACATATTCACTGTCTGTCCTCCACGCTTATTTTCAACCTTATGATTAAAAACATAAATACATTTTTGAAAAAAAAAAAAAGAGGAAAAATTATTGAATGCAAAAGAAAACGTGGTATTTTTCTTAAGTAACTAATTTTCACTTCAATCACAAAATAATGAAATTACAAAAAATAGAATACTAACTTTTTCATGAAATTACAAAAAATAGAATACTAACTTTTTCATCACATATATCAAAACAATATCTCAAGCATGCATGATAGAATTAGCATGGAGATTAATATGTGGAAATTTAAAGGGATTTTTGATTTTGAACAAAATTTGCATAATGCATAACTAACATGTAACATGATACCATGTATAAGGTATACAGATGTCCATAAAATGAATTTTGATTATTTTGATTTTCACTTTTTTACTAACTGAATGTTAAAAAACAGAAACGGGAAGATCAAGTACACAGCTGGGATATCAATATACTCAGCGCTTACTGGTATCTCAGTGGACACAGAAAGCCCACGCCGATGCACTCAATAAAGTATTTCCGAGGATGAAATATTCATAAGGATGAAACAGAGGAAGTTTGATGTTATTTGTTGACAATATTATGTAATAGGTTTTTGACTGCAAATCAATAATCATGAAATCTAGTAAAATGTTAAATGTCATAATAAATGTTTGGTGGTGAATGTTGCAGCAGCATTGGTTATAATGGATCAGCCATGTAAAAGGCTGGCACATTTAATACTTCTAGGAAAATCACTGGGTTTCTTTATGAAGACAAGGGCAAAGCAATATGAGCTCTGAGGTCATATCCTACACACATATATCAATCACAGCTTCCTGTTTAGGATGTTATGAGAAACATACTTAATGATTTGGATGGGTTAACATGCTTCCAAGAATGAATAATCTGATATGTATTCTTCCGCACTCAGTTCCGCTACCAAACGTGACAGCTTCCTCGACACAGCAAAGCTACAAATGTGAATTCTGTCTTTTAAAAAAAAATTAAGCTAGTTAAAATTAGCACTTGTAGCACTTTTAAATGATATTGGACATGAAATGTTTTGATTTTTGTCAATGTCCGATACAGGCGAGGCATTGGGTTGTTCTATATCCCGACACACATGTGTAAATTTGTCCCTAATATACCGTGTCATTTTAAATAGCCCGAGTATTTTGTGATGATAATGCTAAGATGTTAATGGTAAGATGTCTCACAAAGTACATGTAGATACTAAATGATTATTTTTGATTTTATCCCATTAGATGGTTATTTAATTCAACACATTTACTAGATACTCGAGGAGAACCAGGAATTAGCGGTATCACTCTGGCATTGATATGGTGATATTAAAGTCAAAGCTGCCATTTTATGGACTTAGTGTAAATGATAGGAGCACACAAGGAAGATATTGGTTCCAGAACAATTGTCATTAACAAGACTTTTCATAAAATTGTTTTTAAAGTAATTTTACACCAATTTTTAACAAACTTTAATGCATAATTAAATGCATGTACATGTACCATATTTCTATAAGATTCACCATTCAATCACGTTCTGTTTGTAACCAGCTAATGTTTTGAAACATCTCTTCATCACACAATCATACATGTATACACTCAACCACACATGAACACTTGCTCTGACAAACACATGTATCCTCCACTCTGACCAACACACGTACCCTCCAAAAGCCCCCAAATGTCACACCATAGTAAACCTATAGTCGTCATCAATGGCAGCAGGAGCTGGATTTTTACTTCCTGATTTTTGTCTCACAAAATTTTTCACATTACTAAATAGGGATGATGAACTTTTTTCGTTGGCACTAAAACCTGCAGTCTTTCCATTACTCATCGCATTAACTTTAGGTTTACCATTACCATAGAAACTGTCACCACCATAAAAGGACATTTCCCCAGAGGAGTCGGCCATTTTGAGTGAGCCCATAGATGAATCCCTGAGAGAATCCATGGAGCCAGTGATATCTTCCTTGTCCTCAAAAATGGGGTCAAACCTTATGTAGGTGGAGGATGTGCTGTGACGGTTTTTGTTTGTCTTGTGCGAGCTTCCACTCTCCATACTGGATAGCACTGAAATGGGGTCTACGTCCCCCTTTTTGGTGGAGCGTCGGAGTTTCACTTGTACACTACTGGTGGACTCGGAAGGCTTGAGAGGCTTTGTTGATCCCCCAGCAATGCCTTTGACCTGATCCACATCTGTGATTCCCATCCTCCGCATATCACGACCCCCGGCAGGCACTGAATGCACACCACTCATGTGGTTGTCTGGGATCACAGACTCCATTTCCTTCATTGCCACCCGGTAGGATGAGTTCCTTCCCGTCGGCTCCTCCGACACTACACCATGAGTATTCCTCACAGCGTATCTGTAGGAATCTGTTCTATTAAAATCCTCAGGATCTGCCGAGGGCATGTAGTATTCGGCCGGGAGTGGAGAAGGTGTTCCATTTTTATTAGAACTTTGGGTTAATACTGGACTAGCATTTTTATGACCATTTGAATGAGAAGAATGAGACAGTACAGGACTTGGCCTGATCCTCTGAGAGTTCTGTAAGGAAGGACAGCTCTTACTCTCCTTCATTGCCACTCTGTAAGAGCTGTTCCTACTGGGGTTCACCATGGCGACACGGTAAGAGTCACTGCGACTGTTAGCATTATTGCTAGAGTCTGAGTCTGAACCACTCTGTGGTACACTATAGGATGTCGTCCCAGCACTGGACTTCCTCACTGATGCATTCTGACGAGGTCGACCGGGACGTGAACTGAGAGATTCTGATGAACCTGTATCATTCCCAGAATACTTTGTCATATCTGATGGGAATGAACGAGAAGATGGCATTGCATTTTTCTGAATGTGCGATGTTGACAAAGACCTGCTACTACTTTTCTGTGCCAGTGGATGATAGTTTTCCGGTTTCTTCATCATACTGTTTTGATAATGAGTTTTTTGTGAGCTGTGATGTTGTGGTGTTGAAGATGAGGATTGCAATTTGTAACTAGGATGTCGTTGTGCCCGAGTCTTGCTGTGTGGTTCAAGTGGAACCCTTGCAGGGAGTGCTGGTTGCTGTGGAGGCGTGACCCGATTCTGACGTGGGGGTTGTTGTTGTGGAGGCGTAACCCGATTTTGACGTGGGGGTTGTCGCTGTGGAGATGTGACCCGATTTTGGCGTGGGGGTGGTTGCTGTGAGGGTGTAGACCGATTGTGACGGGGAAGTTGGAATTGACTTGATGCTTGTGGGGTAGAAGACATCTGAGGTCGAGAAGGACCAGAAAATGTACTGAATGACCTTTCATTGTCACTTCCAGCAAACGATGAAAAAGAATTCGTTGATATGGCAACTGTTTCCATTGTAGTACTAAGATTTGATTGGTCAATACTTATAAAACCCTTGTCTTTACTTGGTTGTTCTAGTAATGATTCCATCGATCCTGTTGGGGTAGCTACCATGGGCACATCCAAGTTAGAAAGATTAGGTGAACTACATGGACTTGCCATGCTTACATAACTTCCTGTGAAGTTAAAGGAATCTTCAGATTCCAGAGACAGTTGACTCCCATGGTGAAATCCAAGTGAATTCTTGACCAGACTGTCCTGACTATTTGTAGAGTGCACACTTGAATTAGTATTCATTTCTAAGTAGCCTGAATCAGCAGCATTGACCTGGTTTGCACTAGGACTCCCTGACTTCACAGGACTAACAGCATACAAGTTTTCACTTCCTGAGAATGTGTTTGTTGGTTGTTTGGCCCCAGGTGAGGCTGCATAGGGATTGATCTGGTTGACTGAAGGCACATTTTCATTTGCCTGATTTAATTTAACATATGCTCCTTTCTTCTCAGAAGTCTGGCCTGACCTCTGACCTGGCTTGACCACAATAACTGGTTGATACTTCATCGGTAAGCCAGTTTTATTGTCACATTTCTCCTGTGTAATGGGCACCGCCAATTTATATGTTGCAGAATTAGGTGACATTGGAGAGTTCTGCTTATTCAGCTTCCTGTTCCCCTCCTCCGAGGATGAAGGGGAGCATGGGAGTGGCATCTGGACAGATTGGGGTGTCCCAGGGTTAAACATGTTGATCACAGGTGAGAAATTCAGGGATTTGTTAGGCTTTGGGCCACTGAGAGAACGGTCACTGTTCTTAAGTATACCAGACACAGGTGTTTGACAGTTGTCATTTTTCTTGTGAGATCTTGGCCATGATTTTGTGTAGTCAAAACTGGTGCCCTCCTTCCCTGCATGGTACGCTCTAGGGAGAGTTTGGCTCTCAAAGTCTGTTTCAATGTTACTGTTACCCAGTAAAGTGTCGTCAGTGTAATCAAAAGTTGTGTCATATTTACCACTAGTGTCAATCGATGAAACTGAGAATATTGAAGAATCACTTGTTAACTCTGTAGCCTTGCTCAAGTTTTGATTCATGTCCATGATTTGTCCTGGATCGACCACTGAGCTGAATTTGTCATCACTCTCTACTGATCCTCCAGACTGCCTTTTGCTTGCCCCTTCTTCATCACTAGACAAGGGGCAAATGGAGGGGATTCCACTTGAGGATATTTGTGTCTTTGATTTGAGTCGCATGTAGATGTTTTCCTGGTCTGACTCAGACATGGAGGATGAGTCTTGCCTGGAAATGACATCTGGTGTCTGTATGGCGTAAGCATCGTCTTCAGCCCCAGGACTGAGGCGAGGACATGAGCTTGTTCTTGGGGGAGGGGCTGGCGGATTCACCTTGCTTAGCACTTTGCTTGCACCTTGGAAGGCCCCTCTTTTTAATCCAGCATACTTGTCACTGTCAGATGTATTGATAACACTTTCAAAGCTGGTGACACTTTGCGTGTCTCGTGTCGGGGAGGGCATTTCCTCGTCCACAAGTGTTCCACAACTTCGCCTCAGTCCACTGTCATTGTGGAAAGACGTATAAAATCCTTCCTGATCCACAGAATACACTGACTCATCATCATCCAGAAAAAATGCAGCTGGCTTCCGTTTTGAGGGTGACATCATGAGGTCGAGGGCCATGATGTTCTGTTTGGTCAGTCTAGTCAGAGAGTTCAGGGTCTCCGCACTACTGGACGACACATCCTCGCGGCTTGCTGCCCTCTTGGCCAGACTTTGTAGCCACCTGTCTGTTTCTCCTTTCTGGTCCTTCAGGGAACTCTTGTCACTGATGGTACTTGCACCATCTCCCGCGTACCCAGTGGTGTCTGTGTCGCAGCGTGACCTACAAACACACAACAGTAAAGAGATCAGAAATTTGTGAAAGTAATACCCAATTAAATTCTGAAAGCGAGTTATAGAGGCTTAACTTAACTTTAAAACCATATAAGCATAAGATATAATAGAATGAAATCCATTTTAAAATACTCTGATNCAGTGTACAAGCAACCTCCTGTTCTCTAAATTCATATAATAAACATCTTTAGTCTTTTAAAAACAGGAGTTCCTCTCTCTTACCTTTCACTAAATGAAAGCTATAAATCTTCTTTTGGAATTGCTGTTAAGTAAAACCCCTCCAAACTAAAAATCTTAATCCAAGCAATCTCATTTGTCTGATAAGTAATACCCTACTGTAGACATATATCAGAGAACTCCATTTAAGTTCAATATAACATGTACTTGAACATCTATATATGTCCCGGCTATCGGAGCCGTACCATTTTATGAAGACCTGGGGAGTAAGATGTTCTGCTATTGTCTGTATGTACACGAAAGGTCACCAGGTTAATGGCTATGAACTACAATGGGTATAAGTTAACACACAATTTGTCTGACAAGAAACAAACACTTCATGACAAGAAAACTTTGTATAAAGATAGCGATCATGATCTAAGTGAAAACATTGTTAACCGTCAAACATCTGACAGAGAATGTAGGAACACCTTCAAGCCCTGATTTATCTGTTAGAGCGTAACGAAGACGTTCAAAAATATCTGTTTCATAACACCACATACATCTGTACTAACCTGAACACTTTTGTTTTAAAAGAATCCTTTTCTTCCACGTAGAAGATCATGTTTGCTTCAGATTTCCTACAGTTACACTACTAGATACTAGTCCTCTCAATGTCTTTCACAACACAAATGGCTGAGGTTTAACCAAGAACATAATCCAAATACATCTTTTAAACTTCTTCTTTACAACTCCTGCCTATTAGTTAACAGGTGTGTGGTTGTTGTACATGTGGTATGTCCTCTGTAGGGTCCACAAGAGATAAGTAGGATGGGAAACATAAACAGAGCCCTGGCCGAAGCTTCAGGGCAGCATGTGATAGATATTTGTGGTTAGGATAGGTAACAGAATGCCCTGAACACTTCATTCCTATCAGTCATAAGTTTAAAACCTTTGTGCTACAGGTATATAATATCCGACATGAGATTTTTATGTATCCAGTTTTATTATTTTATAAGGTTTATGACTAGGGTACATTGTACATACAGTGTGATTTAGACAATGTCTGTGGATCAATGCCTTGTCTATTCTGTAGTACTTGACCACTACTAACCTTAAGCCACAGGACAATGACTGACCGATCAGGGAAAAGATATATAGTACACCTGATTGTAATTGATACGTCTTATTCCAACCTCATAAAGAGTGTTGATAACCGACCTCTACTGACCACAACTATTGAACAAAATTGAGATACATAAACATATGTAGTATTTAATAGTCAAGACAAGTATACCATAATCAACAGTTTTTTATCATCTACTTACATCCTGTGAGTGTAATCCTTTTGTCTACAATCATAACCAACACTTTTAATAACTTATAGCACTCAGACAGAGACATATTTTTTCATCTTCAGATTTTAACCTGGTAATGGAGTTTAAAAGGAAGCTATATTAAATTGTATAATCAAACAGGATTTTTGAAAACCTTCCGAGTAAAATTATTTTCTGATCAAAATGTGCTCACTTAAGCTGATAAACACCTATAGGTGACAGATCAACCCTCTAGGTCTTCTGAAGGGAAACAAATTGTATAGGTATAAAGAAGATACCAGTAAAACATTACCGTAATGTATTTAGAACAGGGTCCAACATTCATTGTGTTGCAGTACCCTAAACACCACACTTCCCCACTTACTTTGATTTATAATGATTTCAAAATGTCCAACAGTAAAAAGTAAAAGCCATTACAGAAATATACACACATAGAGTAACCATGTCGTTGCGCCCTTAAAAAAGCTTTTAGAACCATATTGCTAGTTTCGATGCAGGGACATTTAAAAAAATAAAAATGCTTGAGATATTTTCAATGTTTTTCACATGATTTGAGACAACCTACCTAAGACTTATAGAATCCCTCCTCCCCTCACAATATACACTTCTCCTATTGTGAGAAAAGAATATCTCACAATAGGAGAAGTGTATATCTGACCAGGGAAAGGTGGGAGAAAAGGATATCTCACAATAGGAGAAGTGTATATCTGACCAGGGAAAGGTGGAAGAAAAGGATATCTCACAATAGGAGAAGTGCATATCTGACCAGGGAAAGGTGGGAGAAAAGGATATCTCACAATAGGAGAAGTGCATATCAAAACCAGGGAAAGAGAACAATCTATCCTAAGCAACTGTCCCAAGAAACCATCTATCTGGAGCAACCAATTGTACTTAGACCAATTATCTAAGTGACCAGCTTTCTGTGACCATCTATCTTGAGCATCCGCTCCTAAGAGACAACCAATCTTGGGGGATCAACTACTTGAAAGATTAAGTTCCTACAAGGTTTTTTGAGAGGCAACATATTCTACAAAAACTTCCTTGAGAGACAACACATAATTTAGGAGAATACTTGAAATAAATAGCATATATAATAACAGCAGTTTTCAGAGAGTGCCATTAGATGTACATGTATATCTCCTATCAGAGCTGTACAAACCTTTCCTCCAAGGTGGGTGAGTCACGACCCGAGTCCTGCCCCAGGGAACACTGGGATGTGGACGGCATGCCTTCAATCTTCATGTCTGAATCGAGGGAATGGCGATTACTGCTGCTACCACTCCAGTTCCCTACACAAAACACATAAACTCAAGTTAGATTTATATTCATAAGCATACATCTAATTAAATACAGAATTGGTGCAAGTTTGTCATGATTTTAAAATTCCACCACTTTGTTTGTTAGAAAAATATTACACGAGATATTTCATTGGAAAAAGTTTGTAATAGTTTTATATCTGTAGCTGTGCGTGAATGAATTTAAGTTTCTAGATAATGAAGCATGGTATGTCCCTGAAAAAGATCACTGTTTCCACTCCATGCATCACAAAGAGGCTACATTGGTGATTTAAAATCACAAAACTGGTAACTGAACTCAGCAATTGTTGACTCAAATCAGAAATGGAAATTCAAAATAAAATGCACAGGATCTGCAGTAAGTATAATAAAGATGTTTTTAATATATATGACAAAGGTGATTGTTGATAAAGTCCTTCGTAAACATTAAATAACATGTTGAATGTTTATAGTCTCTGTATGTCAACCATGCCACATTTCATGGATAAATAGGTTAAAATAAAGCCGGATTTTCATATACTTTGCACATAATCAACATACAAATGTAGAAATAATACTCCATGCACATGTTAAAATAACAGAATTAAATCATGATCACCAACAGACAACACGAAGCCAAACAGACATTATGACTGAAATCAAATACAAACTCAGTATTAGGATCCGATTTTTGAAGGAGCAGAAAGCTCTGACTGGAAGAGAGAACAGGTCGTTTATGAAATACAGAGAACACAAAACCACTGGGTGTTCAGTACCACATTTGTGTGTTAGCTAAAAGGAAGGATTTAACATCGCATTAATTAAATAGGTCACTGTTTAAATGTTGCAGAAATACGAAATTCACAATTAGCATGTACTTACACAGCTATCAACATGGCCGACTAAATCCCTCATATACATAAAACTATCATTATACCTCTGTCATAAATAACTTGCCAGGCCTATCTGTAGACACTGCTATTGTTGGAGTTTGAGTAGCTACCAAAATATGTCTGGACACCTGAACAAAATGCCAATAATTATCTAAAAGACATATAATTATTTATCAGCACACAGTCCAGCAGTTTGGTATTCACAAATCAATGAACCAGTGTTTGACAATGTCTTTTAAAATAATCCTCAATGTCACATGGTCAACACAAACAAATATAACCTATGTATGTTATTGTATATATATACATACAAAAACACAGTCAGAAGATTTTAAAGATTTAAATGATTACCGAAATAATGTTTTCAACCTTGAACATCAAAAAAAATCAATTCCGCTTCAGTACGATTTATGTTTGCATTGTGAAATAAGTAGTTGTATGACATACATAAATGTCACGAGGTTAACTAGTTTATAATGATCCGATATGGCTGAAGCTGACAAGACATTTGACCAGTCACTGAGCAAATTTGGAATATTACATATCCATTTTTAGTTTTATTTGAGTCAATAGAGTTAATTTAATAGCTAATTCTATTTCCACATTAGAAACCCGACTGAAAAGGGTGTGTCTAAAAATAGGTTGGTGATTGACCAAGAAGACGACCATACATGGTATTTTTCACAAAGCAAACATATTACATTGTATATGTACCTGATGATGACTGTCTGTCCTCTTTTGATCTCCTCTGAGATATCTCTCTCAGCTTCACAGACGTTGTCCAATCTCTTGGCATCGCATTCCATGTAAATTCACGCTCTATTCGTTTTGGCTGTCGCCTTGGTAATGTATTGCTTTCACTTTCAAAGTTATAATAAGTCCCTGGCCCTATCTTAGAACTGTCTCTCGTTGCCCGACTAAGTATTCCATCTGGCATGCTGGGCATTTTAGAATTAGCTAAAGAAGAGGTCATCGTTTCGTCACCAAAGTCCATAGCATCTAGGTCAAGGGATTTTGGTCGAGGTCGTAACTTGTTGCTAATGTTATTTACATTGACCAGTGACTTTATCTTGTTGCTGATGATACTTGACCGTTTTGTTGACCTTGAGATGCGACTTGACCCTGAACCAGCACTGGCCAGACTGATAGAATCTCCCTCGTACCGACTGGAGTGGTCAGTTCCCACAGATTGTCTGTCATAAGCAAGTGCCTTCATAGAATGTAACTTAAGACATCTTGGGAGGGACTTTGAACGTCGACATGGTAACAACCTTAAAATTCTAGGCTTCCTGAATGCATGCTCTATCTCCTTTCTTTCCTCCATTTTGGCATCAATTTCATCAAGATATTTTGCCATTTCTTCATCGCGGTGAATTGTATTACCGTCCATGTCAATGTCATCGAAGCTGTAATTGCGGGGCTGTTCTCTGTATCCCTTCTTCTTTTTCTTCTCAAATGCCTCAATCTCCTGCATGATATTGTCGGACACACCTGACACGGTACGTCTTCTTTTCTTCTTCTTTGCCTCCTTCTCTTTACTAGCAAGGCTTCGTTGTGAACCACGTAAAGATTCCATCCTCTGAAACCCCTGACCAGAGGTATCTATGGAGATGAGACTTGCCGAGGTCGACTGAGATAGACTCTCCGTCATTGCCTCGGCCTCGCGAGCCATTTCCTCCTTTGTGAAGTACTGTTCATCGGTCACATGTATGGTCTTAGGGCGCTGCTGTAACTTCTTGTAACGTTTCTCAAATGTAAAAACAGACTGGGTCTGAAATATGAAAGAAAAAATAATTGTTACTAGATTAAAACCTTGCATGCTTAAATAACAGTCTTAACTTGTAGTAAAACTTACATTACAGCTGAGAACAAATCTTGTGACTCTTTTACAACATTCCTAACTGAAATCCTCTCTATATTGTATATGTCAACTGCTATCCATCTTAGACCATAACGTTATAAGTATTAGAAAGCTAATACTCCAAGGAATGTGGAGCTCGACACAGTAAACATCACAATAAAAATCTGGCTGAAAACATCTTTCATTCTCTCTAACAAGAGAAACACAAACAAAGGAAAAAGAACAAAGGAATTATGGTCCACAAAACAAGCTTCATTTCAGAGACCTCACAGTCTATACAATATGTAAATACCATAGATAAATTCCACACAAGGTCACTTGACCTACCTATAGGCATCGACGTATACTCAATCGACAAATCTTATGTGAGGGATTGTAATTGGAAAGTAGTTGTTTGGAGAATCTACATGTAAGCCAATTAGCACCAGGAATGTTTTAACACTGCATTTTTTTTTGTTATGATTCATACCCTGATCATCTGCAGTTAAAAATGTGTTTGCACTAGTAAAATTAAACCAATGTAATGTTCATGATGTGATACCACTACATATCCAAAACAATCAGATACTTATAGTGCATGTCAAGGATTTTTTTGAATTTTTCAGTACTTAAGAATAAATCTTCGCAAATCAGTTGGGTTGTGTGAAAGTTATGTACAGTTGTTGCTCTAGGTCATTGATGACCTTTACCTTTCGAGGTAGGTTGAGGTCAGGTGTTTTAACCTTGGGCTCCCGAAGCAGTACCGGCCAAAGCCTGAAGAGCCGAGAGCTACAGAGCCCATCCTTCCTGTAGATGTCCGCGCCCCGCATTGCATGAGATGGGGAAACCTCAGCCTGGGCATACTGGTCCCTGATACACTGGCTTCTTGTCTCTTGTGTAAAAAGGTCGCTATCAAACCCGTGCTTTGTGACATGGTACTCGCCATTCTGGGAAAATTCGGACAGGTCACCAACAGCTGTAAGTACAGAAAGGTCATTGGATGTCAACATTAGGTTCAACTATCAAGGCCTTTATCGTTTTCAATGTTAGTATATGCAGTCTTAACTATAAAGCACAACTGTAATGTCAAAAATAAGACATTTGTACATGTCTAAACATTACAGTCTGAGCTTCCCTAATTACCTGTATATATATGTAAAATCAGGATGTCCTGGTTACCTATCTAGGTGCTCACATGTAAGTTTTACAAGTATATAGATTACAATTATAATACATATACATCACAGCATAAACAATGATGAAACCGAAACAAAATTACCAAATATTTCCATTCAAAATAAAATTACAGAAAGAACTTAAACACGGAATGAAGAAACAGATATATCTGGATCATTAAAGCATTCCTATGCTCCGTTTCCTTATCAAACATTAAAAAAATCATTCTGATGAAACCTAAACGTTTCTTTTTTCTACAATCAGTGTACAAAAACACAGTATAGAATTTTAATTGGAGTCACAAATCCCCACTAAGGTAATACTACACCAAGCCTGATGAGTGCAGATTTAAATTACCGGTACCGTAATGTAGAATTGACTCTGGTACAAGTTTATATCCTCATAACCATTCTCATAAGATAACAGAACATTAGTAATAAAGCAACGGAGTGGTTCAAAACGCTTTATCAGAATCATTACATAACCCACTAACATGAGCCTTACAGAACCTTTCATTTATAATTGCTGTGCATGTCAAACCCAAACAGCTATATTTACCTGGCAAGCTTAAACCAGATAAAGTAATTAATATGATTACAAAGTTAAATGTCATGTCTCTTTAATTTCTCATATTACATCTATACCTACATGATCATTTGACACACCTTCAAATAATGATACAAATTACTAGTATACATTTTATATAAATCAGTTTGAAAGTTAAACGCATCAGGTAAAAAGGGATATATATCAGCACAAAGCATGGATTTACCTATGAGCATTTTAATGTCTGAAGTATATTAGATTGTACCTATAGATTAAACTTATTATTATAAAGCCTTGAAAAGAAAAACCAGTACATAGTTCTTAGGACACTATATAATTAAAGAGGTAATACGCCATGAATAGTATCACACCTGGAAATGCTGACTGGTATAAAATATGACAAACAGCTGGGAACGTACATTATTTTAATCCCCTGACAGATCAGAGCATTACAATCATATTGAGAGACCAGACAGAAATAGATAGATCTATACAATGATGCTGAAATTTGTGTAATGTTAGCGGACTTCAGGTTAGGACAACCAGCTGGCATACAAGTGTATGTGTCTAATTACACAACTATATGGCATATAATCATTACGACATGATAGTTTAATCCACATACAGTGAACTACCGTAAATACTGTAAAAGACACCACTGACTTAAAAAGTTCAAATTATGGGAGAGATAATGATGTTTATCTTAATATACCCGGATAATTTACTGTCTATAATTAATTGTAATATGTTACTTCCCTTATTTAACATGTGAAAATTTAAGTCCATGGAAAGTTACTTCCCTTACTTTACTTGTGATAATAAAGACTGTGACAACTTATACCTCCTTTAATTTTTGCTTTACCTCTGATAATAAGTCTGGGGTTAGTTACCTTTCTCATGATCATTTTACCTGTGATGTTTAAAGTCGTGGTAAATTCCCTCCCTTATTTTACCTGTGATATTCAAGTCACATTGAATTAACTCCCCTATTTTACCTGTGATATTTATATCAGGTTAAATTACCTCCCATGTTTATCTGTGATAATAAGCCCATATGTAAATTAATCTGATAAAGTATAATGTTAGAACACAAGAGACAAGTTCTACTAAACCTAGAGTAAGTTGATAATGAGTACCTCCAGCTGGTAGTACTAGACTACAGACTTACAACATATAGTAACACACACACACACACACACACACACACACACACCAACTTCTCTACTCCTGTTAATCAAACAGACTATACATGTAACAGTCTATTTATACCAACTTTACTGTCTATTCTACCCATCACTGCTGGCCTCAGGGTAAGGACTTCAGACTATATACTCTGTTATACCCCTCACTGCTGGCCTCAGTGTACAGACTAAAGACTCTATGGTCTAGTATACCCCTCACTGCTGGCCTCAGTATACAGACTAAAGACTCTATGGTCTATTCTACCCCTCACTGCTGGCCTCAGTGTACAGGCTTAAGACTCTATGGTCTATTATACCCCTCACTGCTGGCCTCAGTGTACAGGCTAAAGACTCTATGGTCTATTCTACCCCTTACTGCTGGCCTCAGTGTACAGACTAGACTCTATGGTCTATTATACCCCTCACTGCTGGCCTCAGTGTACAGACTAAAGACTCTATGGTCTGTTATACCCCTCACTGCTGGTCTCAGTGTACAGGCTAAAGACTCTATGGTCTATTCTACCCCTCACTGCTGGCCTCAGTGTACAGGCTAAAGACTCTATGATCTGTTATACCCCTCATTGCTGGTCTCAGTGTACAGACTAGACTCTATGGTCTATTCTACCCCTTACTGCTGGCCTCAGTGTACAGACTAAAGACTCTATGATCTATTATATCCCTTATTGCTGGTCTCAGTGTACAGACTAGACTCTATGGTCTATTCTACCCCTTACTGCTGGCCTCAGGATACAGACTAAATACTCTGTGGTCTATTGTGTCCCTCAATGCTGGCCTCAGTGTACAGACTAAATACTCTATGGTCTGTTATACCCCTCACTGCTGGCCTCAGTGTACCGACTACAGACTGTATGGTCTATTATATCCCTCACTGCTGGCCTCAGGGTACAGACTAGACTATATGGTCTATTCTACCCCTTATTGCTGGCCTCAGGATACAGACTACAGACTGTATGGTCTAGTATACCCCTCACTGCTGGCCTAAGGGTGCAGACCAGGGAAAATACGACATATTCTACCCCCCACTGCTTGCCCCAGGTAGTAGACCACGGACTATGGTCTATTGTACCCTGAATCAATAGGTGTCAGCTGTAGGTTGTTTACATAATTGTTTACCAGGTGTTCTGATGTTTTATTATTTATTGTCCCTCCCTTCATGTTATTAATTGATTATTACATGGAATACAAAGAAATGACATTCAGTCTTTAATAGACACCTAATGTGAACTATACAGAAACCTTCACAGACTGTGATCTCCAAGCCTGCAGATTATCTACCACAAAACACTGCGATGCTGATACATTATTGACTGGATTTTGTATTGTCTTTCCATAACATATTGATACAGCTGTAGGATCTTAATTGATACAGCACAATTATACAACAATTCAGGCCAGTTGATCCTACCAGGTAACATTTCTACACAGGTAGTTCAAGGGGCCCTACACAAGATAAAGCTTGTTTGTTCTATCAGCGTTGCGTCGATAATACATTTCTTTATGTGAACAATATGGAATTTACAATGAATATATAGATATGTAACTACAAGAAAATAGTTTGTGGTCTACCGGATACAACTTCAAAAGTTTGTGCAACAAGGTAAAGGCATATTGCTTTTGTCTACCATGCTGTATGAATGTGTCCATCAGAGCGATGGGTTCTTGCCTTTAAAATGGGCTGTTTTTAGGTTTGTTTTTAATATACATTGTATGATGTCACAATGTGGTGACAGTACATCCACGAAAGCACCTGTGGTCAGAGCTAGGAATCAAAATATACCTGTAACAGACCTTCATTTCTAAATTGTTTTAATTATTTTTAGATACAGTGTTCATTAAATACAAAAAAAAAATGAAATTGTTTGATTGTACAATTGATGTTAAGCAATAATTAATATGCCTCTTAACCAAATATTTAGTTTTTGTTTTCAGTTTGAACAGAGGTAGATAAATGTTTTCACAGCTATTTTATCACTGTTTTATTTCCACCTCCTAGTTATACACTAGCCTGCCCATCATCGTGAGTGATGAGTGTTATAGACCAGAGAGTCTATCATCAATTACAGCTACATAGTCTTCTAATGGCTGAATCAACAGTATTCAGTCACACTTGTTGAATTGTATGTCATCATTGATCTGACACAATGAACAGTTAATGACTTATTGACTAGAGTGTATATACCTAGCTAAATTATGTCTGACTGGACTTAAACTCAAAACATTCATTTTCGCAAAAAAAATATTATTATTTTAATATCATATTTCTTTATTTACGACTCTGCATGCTTAAAAATATTTTTTTTACTCTTTCGGTATGTCATTTTGTTGCCAAATTTTGAACAAAATCTCCTGTTTGGGTAGCTGCATGCTTGTTTACTATGTTAAACATGCAACGGTAGTGTTGCTCTATTCACAAACACTACCTTAGATATAAAATTCTGTATTTGTGAACAAAACATGCAGTGTATAAATATCCATGTCAAATGAATCTTAAGGTTAGGGGTACTATATGATAATCACAGATCACTTTCATGTAATGTTTAATGTCTTTGTCCATTCTGATGAAAATTCTGGTAAACATTTTACTTCAAATGGAAATATTTATGTTTTCAAGACCAAGAGATTTTATTTTTATTTTTTTTAAATCTACACCATTAAATTCCAATCCGTTTAAGGTTTATAATAGGACATGTCTATGAGGTGTAAATATTTGAAGATTTTTCCTTATTCTGACATATATTTCTATGGTTTGAATGAGGATTAAACAAATATTTTATTAGTAAACATTGTAAGCTATATATGACCCCGATAAACAAGCTGGGTTTTATACGACATTTAACAAAGTTCAACAAAGACAACCGAACCTTTTACAATTTGGAAAGAAATCCTATTTGATTGGTCAAACATGTTCAACAGTAGAATATTCAAATCCCCAGGCAGCAGGGAACCAATCAGTTTCACCTCAGCCATGCACACTGTGTAAACACCGACCAATGTTATATACCTGTAGAATTTTCAAAATTTGTGTGTATGTGCCATGCAAACATTCATCAAA